CACTTAAATTTCCTCTTTTTTATATGTTTAGGACTGTGGGAATGTATTTAAAAAGATCAGAATCCTGATTTCAAACCTAACTTTTTTCTTAAATTTCTGAAAATTAAGATTCTCACTGTTAATAATTCATTTATGACTCAGAGTCAAAATAAAGAGTTAATCTCACACTATAACTTTGAAGTTTTATTATAAATCTATAACAGAAACAATATACCATGGTCCAATTCAAAAATAGATGTCAGAGTTTAGTTTGACAAAGAAATTGTTTTAACCATTTGGCATATTGTGACTTTTTAATTTTAATACATTTGTTAATCTTAGACGTACTTACCATCAACTCACCTATAAGCCTGAATATAACTGTAAAGTCACAGTTAATATGATACCTTTACAATCACACAACCTTGTTAATAAAATGTTTTTAGTAAAGAAAACAATAAATATTCATTATACATAGGGATGCTCTGGTATAATAGACATGTAATTAGAGCTATGATGAAAAAAAAAACTAATAATAAAACCCCCACACATTAAATAAATCTCTTCTCTTCATTTCATTTAAACAACTTTATTAAGTTTTTACAAATAAAGTAACAAATTCCATTGTGTTTTAGCACAAAGCGCAAATCTTCTTTTGTTATTTGAAGCTTGAACACTATACTAGGTGCAAAACATACCACTCCAGGCTGCTGATGTAAGTCTTCTGAGACTCCTTGTGTAATTCTGTTTCTTTTTATTCACTCAACCACTTTTGCACAGCGATGAACACGGTGCAGAAGACATGCTTTAAAACAGCACATAAAACAAGTGAGACTTAAAAGGGACGATAAAAGGAGAGCATCAGGGTGAAAAACTAAACACGATGGAAAGAGTTTGTGTATTTTTCAAGTAGGGCTATAACCAGCAAAACCTTATTTTTAAGCGGTAAAATGAAATGCACTAGTTTGGAAAGATGTGCTTTTATTTGCGAACCTAAACATATTTCCATAAGAGCACTTTTAGACTAAAATAAAACAGAGACCTGAAAATAAGTGTGTTTAAACAAATGACGCAATTAACATTCCTGCAACGCATGAAAAAAACAAAACATGCTCCTCTGTTTAAAGCTGGTAAATCTATTTAATATTAATTTTTTTTTACCTTTAAGGTTACTTTAAAAGAGCACAAATGTGATTGTGCCATGGTATTAGTATTATTCTTTTATCATTACAGATCTGGACGAGTTGATCCACAGATCTTCAGGAAATCGGCTCAGTGAGCATTCACAGCTTTAACTTAAAACTTCACAGGAAAGAAACATTTTATTAGGATGGTAAAGAGAATACAAACCTTTAAGTTTGTACAAGATATATTTGAAATTTCTAATAAGAGTTTGGATCTTAATGCATTCATTAGCAACAAAACTATCAAAGACAGCATCGTTTGCACACACCACCATCTGAGTCATGCTGATTTATTTGGGTGTAAAATCTTAGCAGGGTAAAAACTCTTAAATTCATTCTTTTGTTTGAACTGTAAGTAAAACCAATTAATGATGATTTTAAAGAAAGTTATTCCAGGAAAATTGTTTTCTTTTAATAGTGAAATAACAAAAACAGTGAATTAAGCCAAACTAACAGAACTAATTAACAGGATTGAAAGAATTCAAACAGCAAAGCTTCAACAGTTTTTGAAAAATATGTTGAAATTTGCCATTTTAATAAACCTTTCATTGGCCTGATTTGTTTATCAATGTGCAAAATGAATTCTGTCAGCAACCTAATGTACTGCAGCTAAGATATCATCGCAGAAGCTTGTGTATAACAAAGTGAGACTTTAAGCAGCTTCCATTCGCTATATCTGCATCTATGTTTTGCATAACCACTGAACCTTTGGTAGGTGAATCTAAAATATTCAGGTGTAACCGTGTTTCTTAAAATAATTCCTTGGTTAATTTTGGATTGAAGATTTGTTGCAAATTTACTTACAAGCAGTGTTTGCACAGCTATATTGATGTTTGGCTGCTAAACCTCAAACACTGTCCGGTTATGTGCAAGAAAGTGAGAGTTTCAGCTCCTTCCATCCTTTTTTTTTTTTAGAACCACAGCTCAGCTCAATAATGTAGGCTATTAAGATTTAAATTATTGTATTATATGTTACTTTTTTGATGTTATTCAAAATTAAGTCAAAATACTGGTTTAATTTAAGAGAGGTATGCAGCACTCACAGAGTAGAGTGGTCCAAGCTTCAGATACAATCTTTAACATCTCCCCTGCTTAAAAATGAAGACACAGCAACAGAAACAACACTGACGATTAACAGTTGCCTTTTCTAACCTTTAACAGCGGCAGAATGACGACGGATTTACTGCACAATCTTTTCACCCAACTTCAACAGAAGCGTTTATAAGTTCCGCTTTAGCAGAGAACACGATCCTTATTAACCATCAGAACATCTTTAAAACAGAACCATCAGTTTCAGGGAAATCCTCACTTTCTGCCACCTTCAACCCAAACCATCCACCCAGAACCAACAGGCAACAATAAGGATGCAAGGCACTAGAAGTTCCTCTGGTTTTTAACCAGAGGCTCTAAGATCAGGGGCAAAGAAAAAAAAAAAAAATAGATTTTTTTTTTCTTTTCAAGTACATTAAAATGGACACCATTGGTTTATACATTCACATTCATCCACAAAAAAGGGGGAAAAGGGAGGGTGAGTTTAAAGTGTCTGATATAGAAGTACTGTATCAAAAAAAAAAAAAAAAAAAATAGCTAGCTTTCTTTTTATCTAAATGTCAACTATGCTGCTGTTTGAATGCAGGATCAAGGTCAATTTCCACTCAGTTCAATAAGTAATGATGCTGAACAGAGAAGCTGATCAGCTGGAAATAAGGCATTTGATTTGAATAGTTATATTAACTTGAATACAGATACAGGAAGTGTTTTTTTGCTAAAGAAGGACATATTTTAACTAGGCAGGGGTCAGTTAAATGTGTCGTTTCAAAACTGCAATGAAATCTTCCTTCTTAGTTTCTATGTTTTAAAGTCTTTTTAATATGGCGCCAGAGAAAGTACCAGAATGACTAAAGTATTCTTGAGCAGTTTGTGAGCATTTAGTAGCAAAGCGCTGCATCTCCACAACAAAAAAGTTAATTTTATGTGATTTTAAACTAGAGTAATCAGATTCATCTGGCTGTAGACAAATTAGATTAAAACAGACGGGTTTCCCCTGTAACCCCCTGCAGCGACTGCCTGTTGCCTGACTGAAAACTAAAGAAAAATCTTTTCTTGCAGACTAGAAATATAACTTAAGATGCATTTCCAGTTATAAAGACGCACAGACGATCTTTTATGGTGTTAGGAATCAACCAACGAAAACACAAACCCCGCCACCATGCCATTACCATCATTAAGATTCCCTCTAAAAATACACCAGATAAAGTATTTGAGTGGTTTAAGCATCGATTAAAGGAAATTCTGCCCCACATGTTGCCCCTCACACATTTTGATGTTATAGCAATTATTTCTAGTTTGGCTAAACGGAAGTAACATTAATTATGGGACTGATAAAATAAAGCCAAATATTGACTTTTTCAAAGTGTTAGACAAGTATTTTAGCATTTATTCAGCCAGCTGACATGAAGTGTGCAGCAACCAGTTAGAGAGAGGCAGAGCTGTGCCGCTGTAAAACTCTGGTCAATCGTTACTTTCTCAGAACAATAAACTGGAGAAGTTATTAAATTTAATTGATCCATGCCTAGTTTTTTCTTTTTATTGTGATGAAAACTTATAGAACTGAAGAGGAAAGGAGCCCTGAGCTGCCTTCTGATGCTTTTTGTGACACATCACCCTTAAAACTAATGGTGTCCAACAACATTTCTGCTAAGAATAATCTATAATCACAGTGTCTTCACATCGTACAGCGATGTGCACATATAACAGGTCCGTTGACAGAACACATCTTTTTTTTATTTTATTTGTTTCTTCTTAAATAGAATAACATTAATATTAATATCATTTTCAACCCAAACGTTGAAACCAGCCCAGTCAGAAATGAGGCATACATCTGTGAGGCTACGTCCGTTAAACTGCTGCCACGTGTGCATGTGTGTGAATGTCTTGTGCATTTTCTGTGTGAGTGTGTGTGTGTGTCTGAAGGGCAGCGAGTAAAACAAAACCAACAAAAACAAAAAAATAATAATAAACACCAAAATGGAATCATCATAAGCAGACATTCAGAGAACTGATTATGGACACAAACTGTACAAGGACTGACATTATTCTGATAACAAGGCCACTTATTTTCTCATTTTGAGCTCGATATTCCCCCCTCCCTCTAAAAGGTTACTGCTGTTATTGCTTCACACGGCGACAAAGAAAGGTGAGAGGGATGAGACGAGGACCACGTGACGGTGAGGAGGCATCTGCAGTGCAGCGGCGGCTGTTTGGCCCAAGCGGCGAGCAGAACCCGATGCTAACACACTAAAAATCCCCTTCAGCGGCCTTTATATTTATCTTTTTCTCCCTATTTTTTAAAATAACTAATCAGAGGAAAATAAATCAACAATCCCATCAAGTGCTGAGCTACAACTTCTTGATATGCATTTATTTTGAGACCTTTTTTGTGCTTTTTGGGATAAACACATTAAACCTTCGTATGCAAACACCTGCATTTGTTAGATTTTCTTCTTTAAGGGACTTTATTTTGAAAAAGATCTAATTAAATCATTGAATGCTGAAAAATAATCTATTCACTTCAGTTGATTAAAAATGTGACACTCTTATATAGATTCATGAAATATTTTACTTCGTTATTTCTGCTAATATTGATAAATTTGGATTAAAGCTGAAAAAACTACGCTTCCCAGCAGCTCAATGCTGAAGATGCTGTTTGGTGACCGAGTGCTGATCCAAGCATATGAATAGTGGAAGTTTTATGGGAAGGAAAAAAAAAAATTAGTTTTGTTTAAGACATAACAAAGCCAAGGCACTACTTCTTTGAATTTCAATTCATTGTTTTTGATCGCTCTGAGGTCATATGAAAAATGAGCTGATTTAAGCCACGCAGAAATTAATGCTTGAATCTCACCCAGTTTTTAATGAATCTATATAAAGGGTTTCACTTTTTGAAACGAAAGCACTGAAATAAATGACATTTTTAAATATTTCTTTACTGTGATGCACCCAGCAAACACTGCAACTGGTATGGAAGCCTATATTAACCATATAACATAACACACATATCTTTTCTTTGTGTTTGATCTTTTGGCTGTCATGACCCCAAAGCAAGGATGGTGTCTCAACCACACCTTATATATATATTTATGATCTGTTTTTCTCCACTCCAGTGCATCTCCTTTTCCTTTAGCTGCAAAACAAGCCACCTTGCACTTGTCCAACTGGGCTGTCGGTCAGTGAAACCCGCCCTGGCGCCATCCCCTATGTGGTCCTCAAGTTTGGCCCTCCTGGGCTGCTTACGGACTTCTGCAGGGTGGTGGAGAGCAGAAAGGGCCCCTGTCCTGGTAGCTGGCCCTGTGGAGGGGGATAGGGCCCCAGCGGCTGAGAGGCGCTGACCAACAGAGGCTGCGTTGGTGCTTGCTGTGGGTTGGACATGCTGTGAGCTGGACCGCACCACTGAGCGGTGTAGGTGGCGCTGGGGAGATAGTGGATAAACTGGGGCGGCTGGAGTTGGGGGAGAGGGGAGGAGGCTGGAGGGTGGCAGAGGGAGCTTTTCCTGGCAGCCAGAGAGGTAGCGCTGGTGGGGTTTGCAGGGAGTTGGGCGGAGCCTCCGATGCTGCTGGGGCAAAGCTGGCCGGGAGCCGAATACTTCCTGCCCAGGCTGGCGGACTGGGTAACCTGCAAGAGGCCGCAATAATATGAATCAACAACTATCATTCAGACTTAAAATAAATAAATAAATAAATAAATAAATAACAATAATATTACAGCAAGATACCTTAAATGAAGTGGTTATTATGTTGAAAATCTGAATAATTTTGAAACTCAGTGAAACCAGTGTGAATACTTTTTAACCTGAAACCCTAGATAATGCATATTAGCATCTAAGAATGCTAATTTAATAAGTTTGTCCAGCTTTTTATACCCCAGGAAAGCAATCATGCATCAGATAAGGAAAGCGTAATTAGGGTTCTACAATAAAATCAATTAAGTTTCAGGATCCCAAAATATTAATTCATAGTCAATTCATTAAAGCATCTCTAATTACGCTTTTATTAATTATAGGACTTACATGAGTAAAAATATGGTTGGAGGCCGTAAACAATCAGAGACATGTTTATTTTTTTTTTAGACTTTACCCTACAATAAGTGAATCAATATACTGTTGGATATGTGGGGTGTGTTTGTACACAAACCTCATAGCTGTGTCCCTGTGCCGGGGTCTGCTGCTGCTGCTGTTGCTGTTTGGCACTTCTTTTACCCTGAGAAGGATAAATACAGCCTTCAATGTATCAACAGCAGCACTGATACTATTGATGCACATTCATTTTCATATATTATATAAAGGCAACTGTTAATCGTCAGTGTTGTTTCTGTTGCTGTGTCTTCATTTTATATATATTTCATATATAATATCATGAGCACTATAGTGATAGAGAAGACACAAATATTTTGATATTCTGCTGGCTCCGATAAACTTCTTTTAAATTATACAACAAAAAGCTTAAGACACAATATTTAGACTTCGTTCACACCCCTTTCTGTCTGCACTTTGCATAAGCAATCGATCCCTTTTACTTTGAAACTTTAGATGTTTTCTTTCATCCCTTCAGATAAAGTATTCACGCCTTAAACAAATTTTTAAACACATTTTTTTTTTTTATAAAAAAGGAAATATTTTAATAAACATCTTTAACACTAAGATCTAAGAAATACAGATTAAGTTTATATCAATGTTAAGCTTAAAAATGAATAAATTCCTTAAAAGGATCGATATCCAGGTAAATTTCCCCATAATCAAAAACAGTTGCAAAACATAATGAGCACTGCTCCACAATTACTGGATGCAAATAAGCTTAAGAAAACAGATCTTTTAGCTTTTAGCGCTACAGCCACCCACAGATCACTTCACCCTGAGTGGAGAGCCATGTGGAAGAAAAATTGCTGCTGCCAACCTGTGAGAGGTTCATGGCATCTCTGGCCCAGTTGTCCACCAGTTTATGGAGGTCATCGGTGAAGGTTCCTTTCCTCTGGTGGGGGGCCGGCATGTTGGGGGCCAGATACTGAGAGCCCCCCTGGCTTTGACCCAACCCCTCTGAACCGCTCACTGCATTGCTGCTGTTAGTCCCTGCAGGGAGACAGAAAGCAGGAGAGGGTGAGACCGAGACACCGGACGGAGAAGACAGGAATGAAGTCATCTGGGTGAAGCTCATGAACAAAGGAAAGTCATTGTTTTAGATCAATTTAATTTCAAAATACTTATTATCATAAAATGCTCAATGCAGTTGTGTACAAATCTACCAAACCAAATCGACCAAGAAAAAGACTTAATAACCTGAATCTGGCTGGTAGCTAATATTACAACTACTGTTTACCTCTTAGAAGGCCATTATCTACTAATTATGGAGATTATCACGGCAATTTAAATGTTTAAAGACAGAATTAAAAATTTTTTTTGTATTAATCACTAATTAAATCAAAAGAAAGCTTCAATTTAGGGCAAAATAATGGATACAGACTGAAATAATAAACTTACACACCTGCTTAAGTTTAAATAAATAATGTTTTGCAAGCTGAAGAGAAACATACCAAATGACACCAATCTAGCTGGATTTGACCCATGTTGTTGTTAAAGGGACATTTTGCAAAAAAATCTCTTTTTTACTGCCTGAAATCGATCTCTGCATTTACCTCTGTGTTATTAATGGTGTATTATTGCCTGCACTAATCAGATACATTTTTAATAACGAAGAATTTTATATTAGTTTATACATCAGGCTGGTCCCCTGTTGGCAAAGAGCCATCACAGTCTGCCGTCTTGAAAGAACAGCTGCTTATTGGGATAAAATAGTACTAATGCGTTTAGAGACTGTGGTGAAGATGATTTGGAGACGCTAACCCAGCGAATGAAAGTCTGCATCACATGCATGGACCTGCAGTAAAAGAAACGGTTTCACCATCTCCAATAAAAGTGAAAAAGAAGACCTTAAAGGCAACAAACCAGAGAGTAAAAATAATAAACTGGATAAAGAGGCAAGCCTCCTGTAAGTGGAAGGAGCTAATGAAGGAGAAAGATTTTTAAAACACATTTCTCCTCGTTTCCTCGTTTCTTGCCGATAGAGAATTATATGTTTACGTTTGGTTAGAAGCTCCGGAAGCTCTTTGTCGCAGAAAAACGCCAGCTTGTTGATGTTTCAGTTCACTTTGGATGACATGGTTCCATCTGATTTGTTGAGGCTTTTTGAGACATTGCAGCTACTGTTGCCTTAATATGTGTTTAAAGCAGTGATGCACTAGGGTTTAATGTTCTTTGAGCAAAATACCCCCATTTCACCAGTAGATGACAGTAATTCTAACATAACATTCCCTTAAATTATTTGTTTTTCTTTAGAAAAGTTTTCCTGTATGGAGCTGAATTCAGACCACAAATATTGTGTGTCTGGTATTATTTTTTCTGCTGGAACCTTTTGGTTCAAATTTTAAACCAATTAAGACTGATATAAGGAAAAGCTAAAGTAGTTAGTCCTCATCCCATATCATTTCTCTCTGGTAATAATAAAGACACCATCATAATGATTCCAACACTGCCATGCTTGACAGATAATTTAAAGTTCTTTGGTGTGAGAACATCAACTTTTAAGGGTTAGGGTATGAGACACAAGAAAATTAAACCAGATAGTTTTTAGTAAAACATTTGTACAGTGGAAGTAGGCTATAAAGTCATCATATCTCAGGTTTGGGAGAAATAATTATATCACAAAGGTTTAAATTACAACCAATGCTTCATTCACAGATACCCAGATTTACTAAAGTCTATGAAAAGCTGTGAAGGGATTTACGTAAAAGTAGATTTCAGTGTTTGAACACCTCTGGTCAAGATGTTTCAGACGCTGTAATCATTTTTAGGTGTCCAATAACATAAAACAAAGACTCATATCAAAGCTGGTTTCACGATAGATCAGGGAAATGAAACAGAAGGACGGATAAGAGATTCAAACTATGTCAGAAAATAACTAATCATAAAAACACTCTCATTGTAGTTAGGAGGAGTGGTCAGATGTCCAGCCACGACGACGCCACCAGCAAGTTAAAGGTTACAAAAAACAAAGCAACGTTTCTCTCCAACTTGCTAAACAATATTTAATACCATTGGGATGTGTGTATAATTGAGATCTTGTGATGAAAATTCACATTCAGTTTAAGCTTGTGCATCCAATTTGAGTTCAGAACACTGTTTTTTTTTTACTGTAGGTCTGAACATTAAATCTATTTTCTAAAAGTAACTGTCTGCTATTCATTCAACCTGTAGATGGCCTCCAAGCTCCATTGGAACAGAAAATATACCTTTTTCCAGACCTGTAGTGTCAAATTTAATAACTAAAATGCATCCACTGTTACCTCCCTCAACCTTACTAATAGTAATGTATAGTAATACAATATAGTAATACAAATCAGCTACTCGCTGAAAGGATCAATAAATCTAAACATTAAAAAAAAAGCTTTGGAGACATTTTGAACTCTGAGCCATGCTGACAGAATGAGCAAAAGGGAGAAACATTATATGGTCTGTTTGTTTAAAATAAGAACATATGCAGGGAGCCAGGGCAAGAGAATCAAACTGCTGGTCTAATAAATAAAACTGTTAAACAAAATGGAGGAAAACAAAAACGAGGCGATGCTGAGTCATGTATGGCTGCAGAAGGGGATTCTGGGCAGTGCAGTCCAGGTTATAAGCCATGGTAAGGGAATGGAGGCAGAGGATATCAGGGAAGCCTGCAGGTGCATGCAGTGTCAGTTTTAATCTGTGATGAAGGATCATTTCAGTTATTTAGACTCAAGGTCAAAACAGATCCTCTGACATTATGGGAACAAATAAACAGAACTGATCTGATCCTAAATCTGGACAGCAGTCAAATTGGATTCAATAAAGGGCAAGAACAAGCAAAACGGGGAATGGATGGAGGGAGGAAAGACCAAAAAGAGAGATAGTTACTACAGAGCTGGTTGCAGGGGCAGACTTTTTTCACCATCTTCCCTGTAGGGGGGGCCAGAAGACAAAAGTTGGAGGATTGGGAGAGAGACAGAGTTAAAACCCGGTCCACATCACCCCACAATCAAACACAGTGCATCTGAGTGTGATTGTCAGAACCTGGTATACACCATACACAGAAGACTGGGGTCGGTTAGGGTCACCAATAACATCTTAAAACCCAGGAGGAAGGGGAGCAACGACCCCCGAAAAGAAACAAAGATGTCAGCTCCAATTTGGACAAATAGAAAGCGACCAAAAAATTAAATGGAACTTTATCTAATCCAATATGATTTAAGAATAATATTATTAGGACGCGTGTTTAACACAGTAGGGAGAGAAGGCATCTAAATAGTTTCAGCTCAAGTGTAATCTGTAGCTTTAAGATGTTTTTGGGTGACAAGACATCAATTCTGAGTCCTCTCTACAGCTCAGCAGAACTGGGTCCATGCCTGCACACAGGGCTTTGCAGAAGCATCAACACCCCTGACATTTTTCATATATTAACCGCAATCTTTAATGTATTTCCACAGATTTTACCCTGAGGGGGACCAATTGAAGGCTAAATGCATTTATTGATACAGCTAAATAATATAGTGTGAATTATTATCAGATGATTTTCTCTACTAAAAAAACTCTCAATACAGACTTTGAAATCCTGCAGCATCTAACAGTTTTCTAAAACTGTCCATCATTTCGTACCATACATTTTTCTGTTTCAAGTGTTATCAGTTCCTAACGCCCACATCATGATGAAGCCAACACCATGTATTACCCTAAGAGATGGTATGTTCAGGATGATTTGTAAGAAGTTTTAAAGTTTTCACTTTTGTTCTTAAAGTCAGAATTCTGAGATTAAAGTCAGAGTTCTGAGATTAAAGTCAGAATTCTGAGATTAAAGTCAGAGTTCTGAGATTAAAGTCAGAATTCTGAGATTAAAGTCAGAATTCTGAGATTAAAGTCAGAGTTCTAAGATTAAAGTCAGAATTCTGAGATTAAAGTCAGAGTTCTGAGATTAAAGTCAGAGTTCTGAGATTAAAGTCAGAGTTCTGAGATTAAAGTCAGAGTTCTGAGATTAAAGTCAGAGTTCTTAGATTAAAGTCAGAATTCTGAGATTAAAGTCAGAGTTCTGAGATTAAAGTCAGAATTCTGAGATTAAAGTCAGAATTCTGACTTTTTTCCATGTTAAACTGAAATAAAATAAAAAAAATCAATTAACTTTTTTTTTTTTTTTTTCAGTGGCCCTAATCCTCTTCTGTATAAGGCTAACAAAATAAAAGAAGCTAAAATACAAGCCAAGGTCTTCAAAAAGGGAAAGGCCATGCATTTCCTACTAATTCACCTCTGTGCACTATAATGTGTTACCTTTTGTGTAAAATCTTGCTGAAATACATCAAAGTCCTTGGTTTAATATTAGGAGAAAAAAGTTCAAACCAGGGAAATTTATGTTTTTGCATATTTTTCAATTTTTCTTTTTAGAAAAAAGCTCTGAAAAGCTTTCAGTTCCACAGAATTTTCACTATTTAGACAAAAAAAAAGGATGAATTTAGTCGGGAATTCATTTTTTAAAGTCAAATCCAGGTTTTAAGACCCAGGTCTGTCTCCCCCCCACTCCTCGGTGATGCATTGATGGGGTAGGGGGTGGGGTTAGAGGTTGGGAGTGATGAGTGAGGAAGGGGAAGGGTGTTGAGCTGCAGAAGGTTCAGAAGCACCCAGAAAAATCCTTTCATAAAGTAAAAAAAATGAAGAATAAATGTAAACTTCTGATAGAAAACTCTGCCTAAAATGTCAAATTATTCAAAAACCAGGTAGATTACCTAAGAATAACAAAATAATGTGACAAAAATCAAGTCACCAAGTCACAACTTCCTGTTTGTTTTTTTTAGAGATATAAAGGAATATATAATGGAGGCCCATTCGGTTGAAATAGACTGCTGAGAGCATCTTTATCCTGGAGACTGAATATAAAATATGCATCACATTCAGGGTGGATTAAAAACACGGATTCAAACTACTACCAAGATGTCCTAATGAAAATGATCATCCAGCCTCTCCAACTATATTTATAAAGCAGCGGTGAGGAGTTGGATGAAGGTCTCAGTGCTTCACTTTGTCCTGCTATGGTATGGAAAACTAAAGCTTCAGAAATCAGATCATAGCTGCTCCACAGCCTGATGACTTTATAACCGGAGCATGACTTTGTTTAGTCCCACAGTCAACAGATGCAACAGCTGCTCTTCTGTTTATTTTCCAACAAAGCAGCTGCTTTACTGTTGGCTTCAGAACTAAAACCGACCTCATGCCACCTGTAAACAGTTTGGTAACCAAATCAACCAGAATAACACTTTTCTATGTTTTTCTACTTAATTCCCAGGGGTTCTCTTTTATTATTACATCTCTATTACCTTCACTACCACACAGTGAAACTAGAAAACCAGCACAGTCAGCAGTGTTCCGTAACAACCATGATGGTTTTATTTTCTTAATAATTACGGCATTTACAAAAGCAGCCAAAGTGCACAATCAAAGGGCTAAATCAGACTTTAAAAGCTTGATGAGGGCTCTGTGGGTAGAAATGTATCAGGGCTGTAATACAGCTGGTCTCTGGCTCCACAGTTGAGTCCAAACTTAACTTTCTCCTTAAAACAAAACAAGTTTGACAAACTCTACAACAGGACCTGAACTGTGATCGGAAGAACTGCGATTTTGTTCTTGAGTCGACATCTAACAAGGTTCCATGTTGTGCTCAGGCTTCGTCTCACAGCTTTATTCTGGTGAATAGAACGTTTGGGTGCTGAAAAGCTGTGGTTAGCATTTACTAACAAGGAAGCCTGATCAGCTCCTACTGTTTGGATATTAGAAGGAGGCACAAACTTCTGCAAAAATCAGGAGGAGACTAAAATAGAAGATGTTTGTTTTTTTGCAGAACCTTTAGTTGCTAAACTTTTTTATTGACTCAGAGAAATCAAATGAAGATCAACAGAGTCTGGAGATTTTAAAATGTTCGAAAACTGCTTAACTGTGGAAATTTACAATCACTGAACTGATCTTGGTTGATTCTAAAGTCCAACTACTGGCGGAAGACATCAAAATGTCCCCATTGTGGGACAATAAAAGGGATTTTCTATTGTATTCTATGATTGATGAATGGATGGATGAATTGCTTGAAAGACCAATTAATGGACGGACATAAAATGATACAGGGGTATAAAATCTGTGTCACTTATTCAGGTCTAAAAAAATCCTTAAATCCCCTGGTTTACTTTAGCAGACAGCACAGGAATATTTGCTGGCGATAATATCTTAGAGTCATCGATTCACACTTTCTATCCCAAATCTCATTGCAGCAGATGTCCAAGAAGCCAAAGTTTATGGGGAGAGTGGGAAGAAACATGATTTATGACGATATTCAACAAGAGTCATAATCAGATTCCGATCCAACATCCTGCAGCTTTAAACATCTACCCCTAATATTCCATGTTCTGACGATGGTCAAATTTAAAATTCTCTCTTCTCTCTATACAAACAAACTGTTTGTTGTTTTTCCTTTCAACAAACAGCAAACCTAAAGACAACACTGGAGAAAAAGCTTTATATCCCACCTATAAAGAAAGGTTTTCACTAATCTGGAACGTTTTGGCTAGATGTATGTCTGCTGTTTGCAAGCTTAGCTGCAGATGTTCTAAAACCAACAGGAAGAAAAAATGACTGTGACTTGACTGATACAGAAAAAAAACATATATATATATATAAATCAAATGAAAGGTAAGTAAAGGTAAAAGAGAAGAGCAAAGAAATAAAGCGTTACACACAAAGAGCCAAGCAGGGCGTACTCAGAAAGCGCGTCCTCCTGCCGCCCGGCTTAAAGGCCACACGCTCCGAACCCCAGCTGAACTTTACACAGCCTGGAGAGAGGGAGGGTGGTAGATGCAGAAAGAAGATAGAGACAGAGATGAAGGAAAAACAAGAGAAGATAGATGAGGGAGTTGACGAATCTATAGAAAGGGTGTTAGAGCGAATCACCATCACAGTGTTTACACAGAGAGAGGCTAACCCAGTCAGAACTTTTTGTCTGATCAGAGAGCCGCTGGTATAAATGACCCTATAGAGGTCTGTAGCTGCCTGCAGGTCTCAGTGACATGCTTACCCGGGGTCGGAGCACACAAGCTGGGGATAGACAGCCCCGCCTCGCTGGTGTAGGCTGAACACAGGTTGTCACTGGAGGGACACTGTTTGAGTGGCTGGAGGGCAGTGCTGCTGCCCGACTCGGCCAAACCTCCGGGGGCTAACAGGGGCAGCTGGCCTGGGTACCCGGCTGGGACGCTCTGGGCTGATAAAGTGCTGCCTGGAGATCGCAGAAAGCATCGGCGCGACGCACACGAAGAAAGCAGACGTGAATAAACAACAAAGAACAGACAGAGAGACAAATCAGCCGAGGAGAGACACGCCCACAGACGGAGACAAGAACACAGAGAGAAACAGGCGAGAGGAGCAGTCAGAGATGTTCCAGCTTGGAGCCTTGATTCGGTGAACGCCCGCATGCACGAGTGACAAAACAAATGAACACACAACAAATATGTGCACATGGATGCATGAACATAGAAAAGGTGTGACAACAGGGTTAAGGTTTATGAATGTGTTTAAAGTGAAGTTATGGTTCAAGTTTAATCGTATGGAACTTGTGTGGGATGATTGGTGCAGAAACGCACAACTTTCAAAAGCATTAAACCCAAATTTACTTCTGTTTTAATACAATAATTTAGTCAGGTGACCCAAACCGTAAAGTTTTTCAGCATTTAGTCATATTACAAACTCAGATTTCAGTGCATTCTGTTGGGATTTATTAACAGAACTGAAAAGTAAGCAGCATTATTGAAATATTTACTTAAGTCTGGAGTTTTACCTTCTAGCAGAGCAGAGCTACATATAGAGTGAAAGCTACAATGGAGGGGTTTGGATCAGGTGTCTTCCTTCCTCCCTCCATCCATCCTATCCCTCCTTCCATCCCTCCCAATAAAAATATGTTTTTTAGGTATGAAGTAAAGGTGAACGCTGATCCCTCCAGTTCATAGGTCAGTATTGGTAGCCCTTCCTCGGACTCAGTACCCATGAAGTGGCCCTTGGCCTTAAAAAGGTTGGTGACTCCTGGTTTAGATCAAAGTGCAATCCTATAGGAGTTCAAATGTTTGCCAAATTGCTGTTTATTGATGTTTTTCATTCTATCTGTTTGTACAAAGAAGATTTCAGTCTACGACGTTTTGACCTTAAAGGACTAAATATTCAGATTTTTATTTGCATAAGTTTAGTTTAACTTTATAATTAAGCTCAACTTTGGTTAGATATAATCCCAATATAAATACACTGAAATCAGTTTATATTACGATGAAATGTTATAAAGCTCAAAGTGTATAAACAGTTTAGGAAGACATGGGGCTCATTTCAGAAAGAAGGATAAAAGAGAATTCTGGGTAAATCCCTGCACACCCAGAATTTAAGGTTGCAGAGTCGGAAAGTCGTTATCCTGAGTCAGGTTTATATCCAAGTTACTCCATAAATCAGCTCTGTAGATGTTAGAGAACAAATGCTCATTATGCTCCATCATATCAGGTGCATTTTTAACACAGATTTAAAGATTTCAGAATATCATTGTTTCTGCCGGAGTCAATCTATCTCGATATAATGTCAGATGGCTACTTTAAAACAAAACAAAGATCTTAGTGCTGCACTTTTGAAATTGAAGGGGTTTAAGGTTAAACTGTCACCATGCAGCTCTAATTCTCAGCAGGGGGAAGTTTCCCTACCTGCTGTTTGGGAGACGGTTTCAAATCTACACTGAGGTCTTAGTGCTTGAGAAATCTTTTTTCACTTCAGGCATGAAATTGCTTAAGTTTTGTTTAATTATTTTTTAGAACTAAGCTTTGCAGAAAAAATATATATATGAATATAGGAAATAATCCACAGAACAGCAGGCAGCAGCAATGCTTTAGCCTGTATCACATTCTGGGATTTAAAGTAATATCTATTTTATATACTTTTGGGTTTTCATACAAAATTAAAATCATATTTTAGTCACGTTCACGACTCCTTCACTAATTAAAGGATATAATGCTTCAATGGTTTACAGGTTCTAATTTTTGATTAAACATGTTTCCACCTTTTCTTGTAAATACACCTCGCACCCCTATTTCACAGGGAGGGACATAAAAAATATCAAATCAATTTTGTATCTTCTCTTACACTACAGTTTAACGTTATACATATTAATCATAATCATGGAATAAAACTAACAAAGGACGTCTAATTTAGTATTTAGTTAACTAAACATAATGACTAGAACATACATGATTTAACTGTATTTCTATATTATATGTCGATTTACTGCTACGTCCTTTTCATGTCTGCTGGTTTGCACCTAAATGCCTCTTTCACACAGACACAAATTGAGGATAAAACCTTTAGTTCTCTAACAAATCCAAATTATGGATTAACGGGTCCCTGCCATGGTAAATCTCTGTATTTTGCAGCAGAAACAGCATTGCCTTTTTCTCTTACATGCGTTTGTTATGTCTGTATGGCATCTTTAGAGGCAATAAATGGAAATGTTGAAGCTTCTTATTTCCCCGTTGTCATGGTAGATTGTTTTTTTTTTTTTTTTTTTCGCTTCTCATTAAGGTTTCTATTTATGCTGGTGCTTATGCTGACTTATGGGCCGACTTAACTCAGACTCAAGTTACCTGACTGATATTACCTGAATTTCTTGAATATCACAGATTTGAATAAGTTGACTCAGGATAATTGCTGCCTACTCAGAACAGTTTAACCTCGCTTTCTGAAAAAGGTGAAAGAAGCTAATAAACATAAATATCTGCATGATTAGCAGAATGTCAAACTGTGATGCCCAGCCCTACCTGGCTGTAAAGGGCTCTTGCTGCCATGGGTGGAGCTGCTTCTTGACGATTTGGAGGATTTACTTTTGGTGGGACGCCGCCTCCTGCCAGTCAAAGCAATGAGGGGTGGGATCACAGCAGCTGGAGGGACCTTAACCAGATCCAGAGGATGAGAGGTTATCTACCACTATTCTGGCTGATTTAAAGCTGGTTTGTGTTTAAAGGACTAGAATAGATCACCTTTCCCAGCCTTGTAAACAAACGCTCAATTTCCTCTTTCTGGCGAGAGTGGAGGGCCTGAATTTCATGTATGTGCCTGTCGGGGAAAAAAGGAAATATTTATACCGTAATGTAAAAAGGAATATGAAACACAGGTTCAGAAAAATGCCAGCTGGACCAGGACAACCGGAGGTTTAATTTACTTTTCTCTGAGGCGACTGACTTCCCGCTTGAAATCTTCATCCTCAAATTCTGAGTCGTTGTCACTGCTCATGTAGGAATTGTTAAAGGAGTTGTTGTTTAGGCTCGGCAGGGAGGCTTTATGAGGCGAGTCTGGAGAGGGAACCTGTCCAGGATCACTGGGTCCATTAGCAGCCGGAGCAGCAGGTGGAGGGCTCTGCTTGGGCTCCTGAGCGCGGCTGACAGAGAACCGTCCAACACGGCTTTCATGGTTGGTGGTAACCTGAATTCAAAGAAGGTATGTGATGAAAATACATGAATGAACGGGGTATTATTGTGCAATAAGAAGAGAGAGAACAGACCTGGAAACGCCCAATGGTGGTGGTGGGTTTGGGTGAGTGGCCTGGGGTGGGGGAAGGGGAGACGGGGTGGGATCCTGTCGGAGTCTTCTGAGGGAGTCCGTCCACAACATCCCCACCTTTAACTCCTTTCCCTCTTAGACGGGGCGAGAAGTCTTTGTGCAAAGTGTTCTCCGGGCTGGAGAGGCTGGAGGATGACGAGGAGGATGAGGTGGAGGAGGAGGTGGAGGAAGACTCGGTGCAGGACGGGCGCTGAACAGCGGGCTCTTCTGCAGCCCGTGACACCTGAACAGACAAGACAGACGATGAAAGCTCAAATACTTTCCTTTACTTTATCGAACTTTGTCTAATTTATGAAGGCATTTTATTCCCAATGATTTCAGAATGCCAAACAAAAAATATTTCTATCTCTAATAAATATCTTTAACAAAACCGTAACACACAGCCACGTTTCCACATATTAACCTGAGGCAATCACTAAATGTGAACTCATCATTTAAGGTAAAAACATTACCTGAAACCTTCCTAATTTAATCCCCCCTGCAGGAGGAGGGGCTTTTTCTTCTTTCAGGGAGAAGGGAACTGCAAAAAATGTGAATATTTAAGATTAACAACACATTATAGCAAGAAATTATTATATATATATATGTTCTGTTAATATGTTTTACATACTTGGTTGTCCAATTGGAGGAGTACTGCTGTGAGAGACCTACAGTATTGGATGAGAGAGATCAGGTTGAGTAGCTGGACCAGCATCAGTCTAAGCTACTAGAATGAAGATCTGTTTACGTGTGTGTGAACTCACAGGGACAGTTTCTGGACTTAATGCTCTCCTTAGCTGGGCGTCCAGGTCCTCTAGAGGCTGCTGGGACTTAAGGAGTCGGTAAACATTTTATTAGACATTCATGCACTAAAAGAGCAGCAACAATGCAGGATCAATGGCTTCAGTTTAAGTTTTTATATGAAGGCCGAGTCAACATAAACATGGATATAGTTAAAATGGCAATTTTAGGTCCCAACATGCTGCCTGCAGTTTAAGAACAAAAAGATAAGAGAAAATGATAAGGATTCTTTTAAAAAGCTATTGTTTAACCATCAGCATGACTGTTTAAATGCATTGCTAAAACAAATTAAATCCTTTGTATAAAAGTGTACTATAAAAATATTTTTAGAAAAATACCAAGATTAGTTCGCTGCTCAAAAAATAAAAGGGAACACTCAAATAACACAGCCTAGATCTGAATGAAGGAAATGTGTCATTGAATACTTGTTTTGTACATAGTTGAATGGGTTGACAACAGAATTATACTAAAATAATCAATTGAAATAAAATGTATTAACCAATGGAGGCCTGGATGTGGAGTCACACACAAAATTAAAGTGGAAAAACTCACTCCAGGCTGACCTAACTTTGATGTGATGTCTTTAAAACTGCTCAAAATGAGACTTAGTGTTGTTACGGGCCTCCATGTGTGTGTTTGACCTCCATTCAACACCTGGGCATACTCCAGATGAGTTAGTGGACGGTCTCCAGAGGGATCCTCTCCCAGACCTGGACTAAAGCATCAGCCAACTCCTGGACAGTCTGTGGTGAAACGTGACACTGGTGGATGGAGCGAGAAATAATGTCCAAGATGAGCTAAATCAGACTCGGGTCTGGGGAACAGACGGGCCAGTCCATAGCTTCATTGCTTCCATCCTGCAGGAACTGCTGACACACTCCAACCACATGAGGTCTAGCAATATCCTGCATTAGGAGGAACCCAGGGCCAACCACATCAGCATTTAGTCTGAGGATCTCATCTCGGTACCTAATGGCAGTCATGCTACCTCTGGCGGCGAATGGAGGGCTGTGGGCCCTCCAAAGCTATGCCAACCCACACCATTACTGATCCCCTATCAGGCCGGTCATGTTGAAGGATGTTGGAGGTAGCAGATCTCTCTACATGGTGTCTCCAGACACATGTGCTCACTGTGAACCTACTTTCAGCTGTGAAGAGGATCCCAGTGGCGAATCTGCCAATCCTGTTGTTCTCTGGCAAATGCCATGTTGAACTGTGAGTACAACCTCATCTGTGGACGTCTGGCCCTCATACCATCCTCATGGAGTTTGTTTTTAATTGTTTGTGCAGAAACATGCCTATTTGTGGCCTGATGGAGGTCATTTTGCAGGGCTCTGGCAGTGCTCCTCCTGTTCCTCCTTGCACAAAGGCGGAGGTAGCGGTCCTGCTGCTGAGTTGTTGCTTTCCTATGGCCTCCTCATGTCACGTGGTGCACTGACCTGTCTCCTCGTAACACCTTTTAGCCGCTGTACACTACGCTGGCAGACAGCAAATCTTCTTGCCACAGCTCGCCCTGATGTGCCATCCTGGATGAGCTGCACTACCTGAGCTACTTGTGTGGGTTGTAGGGTCTGCCTCATGCTATGATGAGTGTGAAAGCATCACCAATATTCAAAAGTGACCAAAACATCAACCATAAGGAAGCATAGATATTGAAATGTGGTCTATGGTCTCCAATTGAAGAACGACTGCTTTAATGAGTGTGTCTTGCTAATTGCCAATAACTTCCTCCTGTTGTCTATTCTATTTGCACAACAGCATGTGAAGTTGATCAATCAGTGTTACTTCCAAAGTATAAAGGTTGTTTTCACAGAAGTTTGATTTGACGTTATGTGTTTTTTTAAATGTTCCCTTCATTTTTTGAGCAGTGTATATTTATAACCCCTGCTGTCGTTGGGTAACATGAGTATAAAACCACTGCTCTTCTTTAAAAGACAAGTTTTTTAGTCAAAGGAAACTCCTCTCCAATGGTTACAACTACTTTTAAAAGCATGTTTAAAAAGAGATATAATTAAGTACGGTCATGGTTGAAATTATTAAAACCACCTTTGTTTTCTTAAATTTCTTCATTTAAAGCTTAATTACATAAAAAATAAGACAAAAGCAAAAGAAAACAAGAGTAATTTAATGAGTTATTTCCGTTCTGATTAAAAATATATTTATTTTCCTTTCCTATTTATATTTTACAGAATTTTTAGTATTTAAAAGTCAAATATGTTGATTGTTGTTAAAATTATTAAAATCATCATAAGCATGATTTCAAGCAACATTATAACTAAAAATTATGTTTTCATTAGCCTAAACTAGAAGGTAAAGATGAAAAAAAAAGCTTGAAGAAACAAATGTACATAAAGAAACAAGTTTCATTTCTAGCAAAAAAACAACAACAACAACACCTGAAAGTATGCAAAGAAAATAAAAAATCCTCCAATTTACATAAACAATTTAGTCAGAATTGAAAAGGGGTATAATTAAAATCAGATCCTGGGTGAATTCAGACTACAGCAAAGTTATTTTAATTAAACGGGACAGGTCTTGCCCAGAGGGAGTTGCATAAGAGACACTGAGTGAGTTTTATAACCAGGCAGGTCAGATTTTTCCTAAAGGAGCTGCAAATCATGTCTGGCTATTTAATACACTTTTCTGGTTGAAAGAATGTCTATTCTTAGAAGTCTGCAGTCACAATAACAAAGACTGGAAAGAATGACAGACTAGCCTTAAGTGACTCGTCCTCACCATCTTCCACCGGTGGCTCCGCAATTATCTTCAACTTTAGGAACGTTTTTTATAATAACCTAAGATGGCTTATCATTTAAGAACACATTCCATATATAGTGACAGTCGGATTGCTATTATATCCTGGTTAAATGGCATGATAGATTTATTAGAGCTAATTCTTTATTCGTTTAACCTTTGAAAAAAGCGAACAGTAGGCTGTCGTTAAATGTTAATAAAAAAGATGCACAACTCACACACTGGGCATTCAAATGAGTCAGTAAATACCATTAAAAAAACAATAAAAACAGAGTTGCATCCAGTATATATAAAAGTTTTGAAGTGAGAAAAAAAAACAAAAAAAACAAACAAACACCTGTATTAGACAAGGTCCAGGGAAGGATGTCAGGAGTTCTGATGAAGGAGAAGTGGCCTAATCCCAGAGAAAGAGATGCAATGAGGAGAAAGTTGTAGAAAGTTAAACCAACAGATATTTGGAGAAAAGATTACAGACGTGGTGCTCATGTCTGAGGATGGTTCCTACGCGCTGAATTCCAAATTTAAGAGCTTTCAATTTCCAAAACGTTTCAATTATTTTTCAACCAATTTGGTTTAAATATATAATGGCAGTTGGTCCTTTTTTGGCTTATAAATGTATGAATTTCAATACAAACAAAATATGTATTTCTACGTAAAAATTTGATGCCTGCTGCATGAATATTCTCTCTTTCTGTTTGCATCTTTCATCCAATCAAGAGTCCTATATGCTCCCAGAGCCTGTTAGGTTCTTTTCAGAGACCTACATTCTTATATTCTGCAAAATGGGAGACTCTAATAATTAAATAAATGTCTGTAATGTTTCATTGTGTAGGAACCCTGTTAAAATGAGCTTACATGCCAGATGAATTGTAAGAACAGTCAGAGACAATGAGTCCAGAAAGTGTTTCACTTTTACCAGTAAATAACCATGCTCATGCTCCATTCCCATGAGTTGACATTATTAAGCCACCAACAATCAACCAAATAGATGGAAGTTCAGTGGAACTTACAGGCATCCTGGAGAGAGGGGTTTTGGATGGAGTAGTCTGGCCCATAGAAGAGGCAGGGATGACTATGAAGATTTAAATCAGAGACTTGATAAAAATACACTGAACCACTTAGAATATAACTTCAGAAACATGTTTAGTTACATACTGGATGGTGCAGGCGTGGCTGTGGGTGTCCCTGAGCCTTGCATGGGTGCAGGTGATCCCAGAGAGCCCAGTGCCAAGCTGGAGGGGGGCAGAGGTGGACTGACTGGCTGGTTGGAGCCAGCTGTTACAGACGTGGTGGAGGTAGAGCCGGTGCCACCGGGGGACGAGGTACCTGTCACGGCAGCTCCAGAGGCGGGGTCAACGGCTAAATCGCCCTGTGTGGATGGAACCCCTGCGCCGAGGTCCATGAAGAGGGAGCGCAGCTTTTTGTCCAGAGCTTGAATGTCGTCTGGTTTGCTGACGGACTCCGAAGAGGCTTCAGTCCTGAGAGAGAACATTTTGTATAGTAACTGATGTCAGATGGATGGATGCTAATTCCTCCCATCTATATTCAATGATTGACTCTAATCTGGTCTAACAGAACCGTAATCTCTCACCTGGTGTCACACTCTCCACAGTGTGTGTGGGTCTGCCCCGGCAAGGCTGCGGTCTGTGGCTGTGAGTGGACCAAAGTGGGCTGGACTGGGGGGACGTTTGTGGTCACCGGCTGGAGTCCCACAGAGGGGGCAAAGCCAGCTGTTGGAACTGCTGGGGTGGTGGAAGATGGACAAAGCTGTGGACCCAGAATGGCAGTGGTGGGGATAATGGAGGATATGGAGGTGGATGATGTGAGGGAGGATGTGGGAGAGACTGATGGATGGGCAGATGAGATCTCGATGGATGTGCGGAGAGAGGAGGGAGGCGAGGATACAAATGGGACAGCCTGGCCTGGAGCAGAGGAGTTGAGCGCTGTGTGGGGGATGCTGGAGATGATGGCTGCTGGTAGAGAGGAAGGCAGGGAAGCAAGGGGAAGAGTTTGGGGCTGAATATAAGCCTGAGTTTGGGTCTGTGGTAGAGATACGGCCTGCATCACGGGCTGAGGCTGAAGAGGGGTCTGACTTAGCATGGCGGGGGGAGGAGATGAAGAAAAGGGAGGACTGAAGGAGGTGGGGGGCGCAGAGGATGGGGTGGAGGATGAGGAAAGGGAGGGATTAGGAGGAGGAGAGGCTTCCATGGGCTGCTCAACTTGATGTTGACCCGGATCCACAGTGGGAGTGACGACGCTGCTGTGTGCAGAGGCCGACACTGCTGCCGGCTGCAGGGGAGGATGGCTGGATTGCATGGAGGCCGGAGCCGTGCTTGGACCTGGATCAAACTGGTTTTTGTTCTGCCTCAGCTCAGAGAAGGCTTGCTGTAACGTAACTGCTCCTGCAGAATGGGAGAATCCCAACATTTGGCCTGGAGTATGAGATGGAGCTAAAGGACAGAAAAAAAGACATTTAGTGCAAAAAAAACAACAACAAAAAACAAGGTTTATAGAGAAACTCATCCTGGATGAACTTCCATTAGGTCTATTTACCAGTGTCAGCAGGAGTTGGAGGAGCAGGAGAAGGTGAGGGGGGCAGTGTTTGCTCCTTCAGTCTGCCTTCTGGTACAGGACAAACGATGAATCTCCGTCCTGCTGAATGGACCACCTGTGCAGCTGCACTGGGAGCGATGTCTAAAACAAATACAATCAAAGTTTCTCTTTATATGACAGGACAAAAAAAGCAAAACCTGAAATATTCTATTCTCGTTCATATTCTGGTAAAAAATGAGTTTTATGTACAAAGTTGTTCCTACCTGGCATGGGGCTACTTATCGCAGGAGTCTTCTCTTCTTTGCCGCACATCAACTACAAATGGACAAGTAAACATCATCTCAAAAAACGAGTTGGTTTTTACCTGCATGTTTACAAAATCTGTCCTTAAAAAATTCAAAACATACAAAAGAATCAAAAGCCCCATTTGTTTCATTCACAGGCAGAAAGAGAAAGTATTGGTGGGTCAGGTGTTCTTGTGTGGACATGTACAGACCATGAGCAGATCGTGGAGCAAAAACATGATCTCAAAGGGGTGAATTAAGATGATTAAAGATCATGATTCATTTCCCTACCTGGCTGCTTGTGTCTCTTTCCAAACCCTTCTGATCAGCGTTCTTGATTACCTCTCTGACCTGCTCAATGAATGATTCTCGCTCACTCTCCAGGATAAACTCACTCTGAATCTGAAAAAACAAACAAAAACAAAATTAAAAAAACAGCGATAAACATTTTGATCTTTTCAAGTTAAAGGCCTGTTCCCTCTGCCTGCTAAACAACAATGTTACAAGGATTAAGGTTCAGGAGCTGCAGGCACTTTTAATCAGAAAACAATAACGGTTTGTTAAATGTCAGCACTTAATGAATTCTGCATTTTACAAAACCAAGAATGAAAAATAAAACCAGATTTCTTTTAAAAATCATCTAAAGATGATGAAACAGAGAAGCTGCAGTGGTGTGACGTTATCTGTACCATGATCTGGGCGATCTCCTCGGGGTTGTCTCCATCTAGATCAAACCGAAACGTCACCATCTTCCTGTTGTGAGTCTCCAGCTGGCACTCTGCCACCCTGTCCCCTCGGTTGGAGATCTGTATTCATTCACACCCATTCATATGCAGGAAAGGGACAAGTGCTAGGAATTAGCTGTGCGGTTGCACCATGATGCAAACATGGGATGACTCATGTTTTGTTGAGTTTGTCTGTCCATATCAAATAAACTTAAAAAACAAACTTTAAGCTTAAGAGCAAACAAAAATAAATAAATACTTGGAAGCTGAATGACCTCTGACCACCATCAAACTTAAATTTAAATCAAATGTAATTCCAAGAATTACAAAGAAAAGAGATCTGGAGAAGATTAGTTACACTAAGAACATGAAGTTTCCCCTTGGACATCTTTTCATGGCGCGACCGGCTTCGGACTGAACGCTTCTGTTGTCGTTTGGTGGAGCGTCCCTCATGGCGACCACAGCCTCCTTCGTTTCCATCACTCAGGCCCGAAGTCTCAGAGTGGCCGCTGAGGGAGAGGAGAAGACGAAAACTGTCAGAAAGGTTGCTTTTTTTGAGTGTGACTGTTGAGCTATTGGTATGCACATATTACCTCTCTATAGATGATAGAGCTTGAGGTGGTTGTAGTTGTCCTTGTGACAGCTCTGACGCCTGCGAAGCCGACTGCAACACACACAACCAAACATGTGATAAAGCATTAAGTATCATCTCACTCACACCAGGATAACTAGGGGGGGCCGAAAGGAAAAACCTTTTCTAGCAAGAAAACAACAACAAAATAGCCATATTTATATCACTTCATTTTTTTTTTAAAGCAGAATTTTAATCTGTAAAATATATGGCTAATCAAAGAGTATGCATGGAAAAATGGTTTAAATCTGAAAAAAAAAAAAAAACAAAAAAAAAAAAACAAAGGCCATAAAACTTTGCTTAAAAGCAAAGTGTGAGCTGCTTCAGCAGGATACGTACCAAGAACCATTCAAACAGCAGCCTCCTTTAAGAGGTCCAAAACTGATGACCTAGTATAAAACCTCTCTCTCTAGACAAATCTAGCAGAGATTAATATAAGATAGCAACAGTTTGCAGAATAGCAATGACTGACTGGGGCAGTAGCAGATTTTGGTTTTATTTCTGCTACACACATCAACACCTCGTATGTGAACCAGCAACATCAGCAAAGTGATTCCATAATCTACTGTAAATGCCTCTTATGATATAAGAGCTAAATATTTTTCACTCTTTTGGATAAACTTTACGATTAACAAATATTTGCAACATAACTATTATGAATTCCTCACTTCAGATTTGTGCAGTTCAGAATTGTAAAAACACTAATCCTAAATCGATAACAGATTATATAATATGGGATATAAAAAGATTAATTTTGTGTTAAAAAAAAAAAAAAACACCCAAAAAAATCCTGTGAAACTTAGCCCTGAATTACACATGTTAGTCTTGCTTTGCTGGCTTCAAGTTCCCTTTACCTCCCCCTTTTTAGCAGCTTAAACACTCCAATCTGTCTCCCTGAACCACTGTCACCTTTAATAGTTACTCATATCTAACCCTTACCAAGGTTGGCAGATCAGATGCTTCTGAAAATCTCTGAGGCACAGCAAGAGAGTTTTTGCAGCAGTAACAATTCCTCTACAGATCAGGTATGCTCATTCTAGCCCTCTGTAAATCTTGTTAAGAAGCTCTCTCTCACTTTAAAACAAGAGTGAGGCATTTTGTTTGATCAAACTTTTCATTCAATTCAATTAAATTCAGTTTATTTCTATAGCGCCAATTCACAACACATGTCATCTCAAGGCACTTTACAGTTCACCAGATCATCCAGTCAAATTGATTCAAAGTTTTCTATCTCAGGAAAACCAGTTGATTGCATGGACTCATTGACTCAAATACAATCCTTCACACTAAGCATGCTTGGAGCGACAGTGGAGAGGAAAAACTCCCTTTAAACAGGAAGAAACCTCCAGCAGAACCAGGCTCAGTGTGAGCTGCCATCTGCTGAGGCCGACTGGGGTTTAAGGAGACAGAAGCAGAGATACAAAAAGCAGCTCTAAAAGGCAGCCCCATCCAGGAAACACACAGCTAGGCAGATGAGCTCTGAGCCAGCTCCCATGTCAGAGGATGAAGAGAGCACATCCAGTCAGTCACAGTCATTTGTTTTCTTTTACTTAGTTTTATTTGTTCAGCTTCAACATCTGCTTTGACTCAAACTTTGCTAAATTTATCATAGTTTTTTTCAAACTTGTAGCCTTAAATTTGCTTTATAGATATAGTGAAATTTATAGCAACAAAGTCAAATGTAGCATCTAAACCAAAAGTATTTCATTTTCATCAAGTTTATCAACTTCTGTAGACTGTTCATAAAATAAAGACATTGCGACAACACTTAGCATCTTCTTTGTCAGACAGACATATAACAACAGGGTGTCTCCAGTCAGAAGCTTTTTCAGATACACTTTAATACAGGCTGCTACAGGAGATCCTTCTTAATTAAAGCCAACAGCTCTTTTTAAAACTCTGTACGAGTTCCAACAACTTTTAATTTCCCTTGGATGAATAAAGTATGTTTGAGTCAAGTTCATTTAGAACTGGAATTATTATGTTATGTTACCAGACTTGTGTGTTTAAGATCACAGATCACAAATGGTCCCAGTTAGGACTGTTCAAGGTCTAAACCTTCAATGAAATGGAAATGCTGGAAAACCAGTGATGGTGACGTTCTAGTAGGAAGATATAGGAAACTTTACATATCACGATATTGTTTTTCATTAAAGGCGATATCGATATATATTGATATAAAACCAGTCAACATACTTGTCAAGTTTAAATGTTCGGTAGCTCATTAAATACACTATATTGCCAAAAGTATTTGCTCACCTGCCTTGACTCACATATGAGCTTAAGTGACATCCCGTTCCTAATCCATAGGGTTCAATATGACGTCGGTCCACCCTTTGCAGCTAGAACAGCTTCAACTCTTCTGGGAAGGCTGTCCACAAGGTTTAGGAGTGTGTTTATGGGAATTTTTGACCATTCTTCCAGAAGCGCATTTGTGAGGTCGCACACTGATGTTGGACGAGAAGGCCTGGCTCTCAGTCTCCGCTCTAATTCATCCCAAAGGTGTTCTATCGGGTTGAGGTCAGGACTCTGTGCAGGCCAGTCAAGTTCATCCACACCAGCCTCTGTCATCCATGTCTTTATGGACCTTGCTTTGTGCACTGGTGCACAGTCATGTTGGAAGAGGAAGGGGCCAGCTCCAAACTGTTCCCACAAAGTTGGGAGCATGGAATTGTCCAAAATGTCTTGGTATGCTGAAGCATTCAGAGTTCCTTTCACTGGAACTAAGGGGCCAAGCCCAGCTCCTGAAAAACAACCTCACACCATAATCCCCCCTCCACCAAACTTTACACTTGGCACAATGCAGTCAGACAAGTACCGTTCTCCTGGCAACCGCCAAACCCAGACCCGTCCATCAGATTGCCAGATGGAGAAGCGCGATTCGTCACTCCAGAGAACGCGTCTCCACTGCTCTAGAGTCCAGTGGCGGCGTGCTTTACACCACCGCATCCGACGCTTTGCATTGCACTTGGTGATGTATGGCTTGGATGCAGCTGCTCGACCATGGAAACCCATTCCATGAAGCTCTCTGCGCACTGTTCTTGAGCTAATCTGAAGGCCACATGAAGTTTGGAGGTCTGTAGTGATTGACTCTGCAGAAAGTTGGCGACCTCTTCGCACTATGCGCGTCAGCATCCGCTGACCCCGCTCCGTCAGTTTACGTGGCCTACCACTTCGTGGCTGAGTTGCTGTCGTTCCCAAACACTTCCATTTTCTTATAATACAGCTGACAGTTGACTGTGGAATATTTAGGAGCGAGGAAATTTCACGACTGGATTTGTTGCACAGGTGGCATCCTATCACAGTTCCACGCTGGAATTCACTGAGCTCCTGAGAGCGACCCATTCTTTCACAAATGTTTGTAAAAACAGTCTGCATGCCTAGGTGCTTGAATTTATACACCTGTGGCCATGGAAGTGATTGGAACACCTGATTCCAATAATTTGGATGGGTGAGCAAATACTTTTGGCAATATAGTGTAATATGTGAAATCAAATCAAATTGTTTTATTTAAATATTTATATTTTTCTGTTAAATATTAGAGATGTAATGAAGGAACATGCATATAAAAAGCAAAGTCAGTGAACTTGGTAAATAAACTATGAACAAAAAGGAAATTCTCAGACTCTCAGGATTCTCATTTGAGTACCAGAATGTTCACATTTTGGACAAAGAAGACAGGTGATTTGAAAGGGATGCGAGGGAAGCCATTTATGTTAAGAGTTAAAAACAAACCTTAAACAGAGGGGGTGGACTCAGGTTTCAGCTCTCAAGAGTAGAGTTGATTCCTTCCCGCTATCATCTCAATCCTCATCGCCATGGAGGGGATAAAACATCTCGCCTGGTCAGCCAGGCCAACAAAAACCCTAACGACTCCCCTTTAAAGAGGCATGGGCCAGTATCGGGCTTTGCAGGCCAACTACAACCTCAACGACTCCACATATAAAGGGGTGGACCTGTTCTAATGCGGTAGTCTCATACTTCAATCTAGAAAAAGTTATTTTGTTTTATTGCCCAGCCCTACGTTCTAGGTGATCACAACCAAGAAGACCCTGGTCCAATGTAAACATTTAAGCTAATTTAAGCAGCTTTCCACACGGACAACAGCAATAACTTCCAAAGAACTTCATAATCAGTCGATATTGTCCTAAACTATAAGAAGTATGGTTAGAGAAGATAATGGGATGTCTTCAAAATGTGAGAACACGGATCAAACAATTAAGCATGGTGGCAGTACCATCATACTGAGGGGTTTTGTTCAGCTGTTGGATGAGGTTCTGAATGATACAACTAAACTAAAAATCCAAACCCAGCTTTGCTAAAAAGTGCTGGGTTTATGCCAGGAAACCAACATTTAAAGGAAATCTACAAAATCTTAAACAAAGTTGTTTAAAACACACCCTGGATTATACCGGAGGATAGTTCAGATCTACAAACTAATGGTTCAGGTTCAGTTTGTCAAAGGATATTTAACCAAATATTAAAGATATACATATTTATCCAAATATTTTATCTGAAGGCTAGAGAAAATCTCCAACAACCCATTTTAATTATCCTAGTGACTGCAGCTAATAGTACCGTCATAAAAACAATAAAAAAAGATCTAAAAGAGCTAAATGAAATTAAGCTTGATACCCACAAAAAAAAAATAACTTAAAAAAAATTCACTGGATTCACTTTCCAAGTTTGAAGACATTTTGCTTCCCATCCAGGAAGCTTTTTCCAATTCAAAATGTCAGGGATAGCGTTGAGTTAGAGGTTTTATACCATAGCCCAACAAAGCCATGTTTTTGTGTTGAAAACATGCAAATTGGAACAGGCGAAGCAGTCCGCCCAATTCGAATTGGGGTCGTTTGGCTTCTTTTATTAGACAGCAATACCCCATACCCATCTAAGTGTGTTTTTTATTTTTATTTTTTTGGAATGACTATGACCTGGATGACTGAGAACCTTCACCAGCATAACATTGATACCCTTGAAGAAGAAAATGTAAAATAAATAAACAAGTTGGAGTTTTAGATTGAAGAAAGTAAAGATAAAGGAGTATGTTATATAAAGTAACTGGGGTACAGAGAAACTGACTATGAGTGGATTTGATACTGAGGTTATTTTTACTGGAACCTGAACATCACCGCAACCTCCAATTGATGGGTTTGAGTAGAACCAGTACCTTTGGAAGGACTTCCATGGGAGTGTCAGGAGGAGTGGTGATTACACTGATGACTGGCACCACGGTGGCCAAAGGCTGAGGAACAGGTGAGGGCACAGGAGGTAGAGGAGAGGGAACGAGGGTAGGCACCACCCCAACAGGGATCGGCACAGGGGAGGGGAGGGAGGGCCCAACTGATGTCGAAAGAGCCGACGGAGAAGGGAGGGTCGCCATGGGAACGGCAGAGGTTGGTGGAGGTAAAGTGGGCTGAGAGGGTGGTACCGAGATAAGGGGAAAACAGAAACAAGAAGAAGGAAGGAAAATCAAGAAAACGACAGAGGAAACGTCAAAGGAACCAGAAGGAGGTAGAAAAAACCCAAGAGGGGATTAGAAGTTAAAATGAGGCGAGAGCGGATACGTGGTATTTGTACTACACCACCTCCATATAAAACGTGGAAATTAAGAGCAGACTTGATGCAAAAAAAACAAAAAAACCCTGGAACGCATTGGGTTTTATTTAGTGACTTTAAAGAGTTGAGACCAAACAGGAAATACTGTGAAAGGCACACACATACAGCATGCATGTATATGTGGCTCTTCATCAATACCAAAAACAACAAGTTACTGATGGCCAAACACTAAGGCATACAGGTGCTGGTCATAAAATTAGAATATCATGAAAAAGTTGATTGATTTCAGTAATTCCATTTAAAAAGTGAAACTTGTATATTATATTCATACATTACATACAAACTCATATATTTCAGATGTTTATTTTGTTTAATTTTGATGATTACAAATGACAACAAATGAAAATCTCAAATTCATCATATCAGAAAATTAGAATATTACTGAAGACCAATAAAAACAAAGGATTTATAGAAATGTTGGCCAACTGAAAAGTATGAACATGAAAAGTATGAGCATGTACAGCACTCAGTATTTAGTTGGGCCTCCTTTGGCCTGTATTACTGCAGCAATGCGGCGTGGCATGGAGTCGATCAGTCTGTGGCACTGCTCAGGTGTTATGATAGCCCAGGTTGCTCTAATAGTGGCTTTTAGCTCTTCTGAATTGTTGGGTCTGGTGTATTGCATCTTCTTCTTCACAATACCCCATAGATTTTCTATGGGGTTAAGGTCAGGAGAGTTTGCTGGCCAATTAAGAACAGGGATACCATGGTCCTTCAACCAGGTACTGGTAGCTTTGGCACTGTGTGCAGGTGCCAAGTCCTGTTGGAAAATGAAATCTGCATCTCCAAAAAGTTGGTCAGCTGCAGGAAGCATGAAGTGCTCTAAAACTTCCTGGTATGTGGCTGCGTTGACCCTGGACCTCAGAAAACACAATGGACCAACACCAGCAGATGACATGGCACCCCAAACCATCACTGACTGTGGAAACTTTACACTGGACTTCAAGCAACGTGGATGAAGTGCCTCTCTTCTTTTCCTCCAGACTCTGGGACCTTGATTTCCAAAGGAAATGCAAAATTTACTTTCATCAGAGAACATGACTTTGGACCACTCACCAGCAGTCCAGTCCTGTTTCTCTTTAGACGCTTCTGACGCTGTCTGTGGTTCAAGAGTGGCTTGACACAAGGAATGGGACAGCAGAAACCCATGTCTTTCATACGTCTGTGTGTGGTGGTTCTTGAAGCACTCACTCCAGCTGCAGTCCACTCTTTGTGAATCTCCCCCACATTTTTGAAGGGGTTTTGTTTCACAATCCTCTCCAGGGTGCGGTTATCTCTCTTGCTTGTACACTTTTTTCGACCACATCTTTTCCTTCCCTTCACCTCTCTATTAATGTGCTTGGACACTGAGCTCTGTGAACAGCCAGCCTCTTTAGCGATGACCTTTTGTGTCTTGCCCTCCTTGTGCAAGGTGTCGATGGTCGTCTTTTGGACAACTGTCAAGTCAGCAGTCTTCCCCATGATTGTGTAGCCTATAGAACTAGACTGAAAGACCATTTAAAGGCTTTTGGAGGTGGTTTGAGTTAATTAGCTGATTAGAGTGTGGCACCAGGGGCCATCAATTTTGAACCTTTTCACAATATTCTAATTTTCTGATATGATGAATTTGAGATTTTCATTTGTTGTCATTTGTAATCATCAAAATTAAACAAAATAAACATCTGAAATATATGAGTTTGTATGTAATGTATGAATATAATATACAAGTTTCACTTTTTAAATGGAATTACTGAAATCAATCTACTTTTTCATGATATTCTAATTTTATGACCAGCACCTGTATATAGCTCAGTCTGTCCGAGGAGCAAGGACAGTATTACCTCACAAAGCTGCAGGTTTAAAGAAACCCAGATAAATATGACATCAGTCATAAACTCCATGTATTAGTAATACAAGTCAACAGGTGTGTTTACTGGTGTGTAATTGTGAAAATACATTTGGTAAATGGAAACACCAAAATTTTGAAATTGCAGTTGATGAGGTGGTTTTTCACTTGTATCGAAAATCTTATACTTGGCAAAACTGCAGACAAAACACTTTATTCGAGTCATGTAACTGGCAACTGGACCTTTCTGCCTTTTAAAAACATGCGGAAGAAGACCGGACATACTTGGAGAACAATGCGCACTCTAGAGCCATGGCTGAAATATAGATATATCTCACGTATTTACATCTGCTTCTGCCATTTTGTTTTCATAGCTATTACATTACCAAATGTATTCAGGTGCAATTATTATTGCATTTGCTATTAAATTGAAATACAGCAGTTACGAAACTTTTTATTTTTTTAGAATATCAACATAGTTTTCCACACATATGTAATGGGAAACGCAGCTAGTGGCAGTTCCTCCTAAGAAAAGAAGCTGTTGAGTATTTTGGTTGGCGTTCGGCATCTATCACCCCTATTATGAGACAGGGAGCCATATTGGATTTTCAGTCTGGGGGAAACCAGAGTGATTGGTCTTGCCAAGTTCATATACTTCAAGCTTATACCGTTACTGAGTTCAAGCTTATAACTTATTAAAATTAGTCGGACTACTAATGCATTCCTCTCAGCTAGTACGAAGACCAGACGGATTATTGTAAAGATTTGAGAAGTCAGAAATATCAGGTTGATGTTTGTTAAACAAAAAAAACAAAACAAAGAGACTTCGAAGCATTGGATGCAGGTCCAGCAGATTCCACAACAGTTTCTTCCCCACTGCCATTAGACTGCTGAATGTTTTGTAGAATGGGTTATTGTATTGTATGTTATTATATTTATTATATTTTATCATTATTTATATGTATATTAAAAAAAGATTAGTTAGAACTGTAAATTTACAGTCATTTTTACTATTTTTCAAGGCTGCATTTTTAAAAGATGAAATTGTCCAGTGAACTGTTTCCAAACGAAATTTGTTTTTGTTTTGCACTTGTGTAAACAAAATGACAAATAAAATCTGTCTAAAGTCTAAAAATGCATAATGCGCATTTTTGCTTTTCACATTGTTGATCTGAAAATTCTCAAGTGTGATTTCTTTACACAAATGGAAATATTTATTGAATTTCTGATTTAAAGCAGTAAAATAAACAGCTTTGAAAGTCAAAGAGTCATTCTAAACAAACTTTTTTTTTTTTTTTTTTTTTTCACGCAATGATGAATGGATGTCCCGCCCCTGAGCCTTTGGCTTTCAGTAACTGTGGCCCCTGAGCATGTCTTGCCACATTCAAAGACACAGTGGGTCAAAAAGCATGCAATTTTAAGTGACTGTGATGAAACTTGTATTGTAAGTGAATGAAGACCATAGAAATTACACATAAAACATGAATTTGCGTAAAGTTTAGCCAGGAATATAAACTTGCATTTTAAAAGTGCTCACATTTCATGTTTCTCATTGCCTGGTGATTCAACATTGACCTTTTCACGGTTATCAGTTGTGATACTGAAAATAGTGCCCGACTTCATTTCCATAAAATAACTCCTTCATTTATTATTCATGCTTTTAATCACAGCAGTTAGGGGGAGTGTCCTAGGTACATAAAAGAAAAATGCTACCAAATATGAAAAGAGTTAGTTCATTCAATTATGGAAGCTGAATCTGCTGGTAATTTAAAGGACATCAAACAGATCCAAATGTGCAATTAGTTTCAAAGGTTCACAGACACACAAACATACAAGGAAAGTCACTGGTTTACATGAACCCACATATTTCAACATTACCTTAACCAGAGCTTGCTGGGCAGCCTGGTATAACAGATAAAGATGCTCTATACTAGGTGATGGGCTTAGATCACAGAACTACACACACACACACACACACACACACACACCCACACCACAGAAAGACGACACAAACCCAGTGGTGAAACACAAGCAGCATGCAAGAGGATCAAAAGACAAAAATTAAAAAAGTTAGCTGAAGAACAAGCAGAACATGCTATATCCACACACACTGCTCACTGCTATTCTACTAAAGCTGCTTACTTATTAAGGTAATTTGCTCATTAATGTGCACATGTTAAAACTTCTCCAAATGTTAAAACCTCCGCTATAATTAAAACCCCCCAGTAAAGATGAGTAAAAAGATTTTAAAAAAGCTTTCTCTTCGCTCTGCTTTCACTGTAGATACATTTAGGTGTTCTTAGAAGACATGAACAGAGATATCAGCAGGTGAATGCGATGGAAAGATTTTTAGCTCAGCCCAATCTTTTACCAAGACTCAAATTTAGATGTTTTCAGTATCAGTCAGGTCTTTCAAAAAGAAGCGAGAGAATTTTATATTTAGGAAGCTATCAAAACATGCATGTTTTATAATAAGAAAAAACTGTTCTTTTTGTTGATGTAAATATGCAAATAAAGGAGGGAGAGAGAGGAACCTTCATTAGTTAATAGTGATGTTGTTCTTTTAAACTGTAAGGGATGGAAATGTCATCCTCTCCTAGTTTAGGAAAGGCTGCTCTTTCTCAACAGGAAACACACAGACTGCTGTTTCACTAAAGCAATCATTAACATACGATGATGAAGTTACTTTAAAATGTCATCTCTAATCATTTTCTACTGATACTGTATGAATAATAATAATGTGCTCACGGGAAAAAAAGACTTTTTGAATGGTCTTTAATCAAAGGTGTTTTTAGTTTGGATAAATTCACCAGCATATCAAAATTGTAAACCAGAAATCTAAACTTGATGAATGAAAATTTACTGTATTGCTTTCTGCCATGAAGGATAATCAAAGATCCTGTATTTAAAAACATGAACTCTACTTAATGGTTCTTGCAGGCAGAGTGTGGTTGGCATTTATACTAGTTTCCCACTGTAGTTTAATGGGAGAATAACTAAATCCCATTTCAAAATACAATGAAAATGCTCACTTTCAGGAACTTAACCTGAATAAAATTGGTAGTCTACCTGTTTCATGAACTGTAGACCTTTTTTTTAAAGAAATCTTTGTCTGAAGATTTGCAACTTTTTCCACATCTTTACCAGGTGTAATGATATTTAAGGGCTCATTTTCTATAATCTTATTTAATAAATAAACTATTCTCTAAGTCACAAAATGATAATCAAGATGCTTGTAAGCAAAAATTGCAAAACGATTAAAAAAAATCTAAGTAAGACTCAAAGGATCTCAAACTCCTGTCCTACATTGCTGGTGTCTTGCTACTTTTAGATGCGTCCTTGATCTAAAAACCTCTGGATGTAAAGGCTGAACAAACCTTTCAGCATGCAGTGATCTTCTACGTAGCCTTGTTATTAAACTAATCAGTTCATATACATGTATTGAAGTACAGCTGCATCCAAAACAATACACCAGCCTTTGAGGACAGGAGCTTAAGAACCATATAGTGTATTGCATTAGTTTGCACTTTTCCTGCAAAGAAGTGATCATAGAGAGCATGCTAAATACACTAAGTGCAGCACACCTCTCTGCTAAGTGCCAGTACATGTTTAGGCACATAGGGGCCAGTTAAATGTAATCAATAAGTACCTGTGCAGATGTCTGCTGCAGGCCTGTGTGTGATGGACTCTGAAGGGAAGAACTCTGACCACACAACAGAGCCCGGAATAAAATGAGATGGAAAAAACAAATACAGATATAAAGAAACATTAGTGGGACAAAATAAAATACCAATGCACTGCTTAAAAAATCTAATCAAGTTGCTAAAATAAATATTGTACTGGATTGCAATTTTATGCACATATTTAAAAGAAGGTTAAAAATGGCATATTACTGTACAAGGATTAATTTTAGAACTTTTTTTTTTTTGACTGTATGTAGTTTACACAATAAAAGCTGAAATTTATGATCTCTTCGTTTTTCTTACCTGTTGGGACGTCCCTGCAGGATCAGATTGTGTAGCAGCAGGGACTAGAGAGGATCCTGAACTTGGTTTAGGAGTTGGAGTCTGAGCCTGCTGCTTGGAAAAAGATTCATAGAAAGACAGACCGAAGGACAGACAGCGAGAAGAGGAGATCCAATGTTGCAGGATGGAAAAAAGATGAAGGGTGCAGATAGGAAATCAGAAAAATGAGAACAAGAAAAAAAAAAAAAAAGAGAAAAGTAATCAGTGCATGTTTGTAGATTTAAACCCAAAGCAAGCATGAGTGCAAACACAAGACTGCCCCTTTCTCTTATGATCACTTTCTTTTTGTGTATGCACACATGCACAAAGACAGCACATGTACACTAAAGCATCATCTACTGGATGAAAATACAGCAACGGTACGAGCACATTACTGGGGTTAGGCAGGGTGTAAGTAGGACACTTCACATGCAGGTAAGACCCTAGAGGATTGGCAGCACTAATAACTGTTACATAACATAGTGATTAGAGCTCAGTATAGTGGGTGGAGATTAATAAAAACAGAATGCTACACTAACTACAGATTAGATTGCTTCTTTCATTGTGCCTTGTTTGTAGTTATCCACACATCTGTGTCGAAATGGTATAGTTACAGTCTGGAGAGCATCCAGACATGGTCAACAAATCTGTTCAAGTTTTACGCTTTGAATGATGCTTTTTAATCATTGTCTTTTCAAGGTGAAATGAATTCATTTTTTCATGTTCCGACTGTCTGATCATCCACCTTTCCCTTTAAATGGAAGAACATCCTCCAGGAAGTTTAGAAAAAACACAGGAGCCACTTAGGCTTAGACCTGCTAAGAAAGGGAATTTTCTCCAATACCAGCATCGCTGTCCAATTTGGAAGCCCTTTTCTACATCTCCAAAGAAAAGTCAATTAAGTTCCAGAGAAAAACTTTAAGGTCACATAAAAGAATAAATAAATAATCAACTACTGGATGCAATAGTAGCATATCGGGAAGGATTGAAGAGGTGCTTTTAAATCTGGGGAAACTGCAGAAATAGTCATGCATGGTGGTGGCTGCAGCATGCTGCGAGCCACTTTGTTAGCACTGCTACAGTGGGGGGATAAGGAAGGGAATGGATAAATTAGGCTAAAAAAGTTTATGGAACGGCATTTCCAGAGCTGAACCATGCTGGTTTTTACCTTTAATTGAATTAACTATTTATGTGGTACATTAATTTCAACCTTGGAAAAAAAAAAGATTAAATCCTTAAAGTCTAAAATTAATGCAACCTTGAAGTCCATGATGACTTTTGTGAAATTCTCCCCGAAACTGTACTTTAAATCTGCAAAGCATGAATGAGCCCCTCCTGTATTTGGCTTTGTGTCGCTCACATCCATTTGCTGCTACCTACCTTCTTCTAACAACACGGTCAGAAAATCATCGATCAGGTTCAATGGACCCAAATATAACTGAGAAATGTACAGGAATATTTTATTTTAAAGAAGAATGAATGGCGAAATAAAACCCAATAATGAGTGAATGATAGAAATGAAAGGATAGTCCTGTGCTAACGAGTTTCTGGAAGCAAATGCAAAAAGAAAAAAGGTGTTTTTGGCAGCATTCTAAGGGTTTAACATATTTTAATCTCCAAACTCTTTTGTATTTACAAAAGAAAACCTAAAAATCAAACATAGAAATGGATTTCTGCATGGTTACACTGCATAGTGACCAAGCCCCCTCAGTTTTGTTGTATGTTTCTGTGTGTTTGTTCATACAAATCCTCAAAGTCTTGCATTTCGTTATTATTACTATCAATAATGCAACTAATTAAAAGCTTATAGTACAAAACAATAGTTATATTTATTCTATATTTAATTGTAAGTTTGGGAAACTTTTAAAAGATCAAGCAGACTTTGGATTTGTACGATCAACATGTAAGTATGACACAGAATCAGTATACCTACACAAACACACATTTTTCCATATACATTCATATATGAACATACAGACAAAATATTACTTACTAATAAGACAAAGTAAACCAAAATAAAAAATAAACACATAAAAGAGGGGGCTTAGACTGTTTCTAAAGCTTGTTCACCAGAGAGAGTCTCCAAAACAACCTGTTAAAGATATAGAAACAATAATACGGATTCTATTTGAGGTCAAACAGTCAAGCCTTTCTCTATTAAACTCTAATTAAGCTGAATTTGATTTAAATCAAGCTTTTTATAAGCAATGTTTAGACACAATTACAGTGTAAAGGAGCAGTGAGGGTGGGGGTGTTGTGAGACTCTCTCTGCGGTGCTGATATATGACTGTAGGGGGTTAAAATCACAAGGAGACTACAGGATGAATAACAAGCATCAGCTGGGGAGGGTCTGGGTCAGCAGGGTATGGAAACAACAGGGGTCTTTATGACTGCCTCTGGGTCAGATTACTAATATCATTCAATTAAAATGCATTAAAAGCTTATATCCTCTGTTTTATATGCAGATTATAACCTTGGGCGGTAAAAGAAAAAAAAAGCTTTTTTTTATTTTTTATAAAGTGGTTTAAAAAATAATAGGTTTGTAGCTAAAGCTGGGTTCCAACAAATCTTCCTTTCTTTCCTTTTCAGATTGTTCATCATCATCATAATTAATTTATATAAACTTTTTCCTATTTAAGTACAAAAAAGTAGAAATAAGTTACCCATTTTGCTTTATCGCTGCCAACTTCTATTGGATCTTAAAGTTATAAGCTTCAGAGATCATTATTTAATAAAAATTTTTCACCATCTATACACATTTTCCTGTCCTATAAATTAACTATAAAAACAGAAAAGGACAAAAATGTATAAAATTAAATGCTGCCTTAGATGATTACTTCTAAATGTCAATAAACTGAGTTTGATGAACCCAGTATGAAAGTCTGGTGTCAAAGAAAGACTTTCCTCACATTTAAATCCTTTAGCTGAAGCCAGTGTTTGGTGGAGGTACGACAACGTCACTGAAGATGCAGCATTATTGGTTGGGTTAAAGACAAAAGTTCTTCCTCACAAAGAAAGAACTTCCATAAAAAGGAAGGTAAATCACTCTCTGATAAGATTCATCTTGAAATTTGGGTCAAAATTGACACCAGGAGATGGTGGTATCATTATTAATAGATCCAATCGGTATTTATGATTTAAAACAGGCATTTTATGTAAAAGATGATGATGGAGGGTATCAGTATTATGCATTAGAGTGAGGAGAAAATAAGAGTTTAGTAACAGCCTTTTCAGATTACAGCACTGAATCTATTAAAAATCCTTTGAGTCCTTAAAAGAAGGCTGGGGATATGCGACCTCCCCATCGAATGCTACATAGAGAGACGTTTTCAACAAATTGAAGCTGTGGAGTCCTTACAGGCTTCACAAAAAGACTGAATGCTGGTTTTCCTTTAAGCTGCTATACACTATTAACTAACGGTACATTCATGTGTGCATTTAAGCATGATTTTATTCTATATTTATCTTCTCAATATAAGATTTTTAGACAATTTTGGTTCAAATTGAAGGTTGTACGTCGCCTTTTAAAGCTTTTTCTATGGACATACTTATCTGAAAATTAAGAAAAAGACAAATACAAACCCAAAAAACCCCAAAACAAAAAAAGTAAGATTATTTAGGTCTCCAAACTTGTAACTTTTAAATCAGTGAGCATATTTCTTCTATTTGCAATTTTAAACCTGAAATTGTATAAGGATTTATTCATAATATAATATAAATTGTCTTTTTTCATACCTTATAGTTTTTAAGACTGTTGGAACCCTTAAAAAAAAAATAAATAAATAAATAAATAAAAGGTTTTGTAAACAATAAGTGAATGATTTCCCTTAGTAACTGACCCAGAGGGTTACCAGTGTTTCCTAAGTTTAAACTCTGTACCAGAGGGGGAATAGCAGCCTGCAATGACTCAGGGTAGGTCATATCAGGTTGGGCTGGTGCCACCCCTCCTTGCTGGAACCAGGGACTCTGCAGAGACTCCAGGTGAGTTGATGATGCTCCACCAGGTGGGAATTCGGAGGACAGAGCTGGAGGGAAAAAGTGCTGGATGGATGGTGCATGTCCCTGGGGGTCCTGATGAAGGACTCCTCCTGAGGAATCTTGGTGTGCAGAAGAGGAGGAGCGAGGGATGGACTGAGCGGCTGAGGAGTCAAACTGAGCAGGGAGATTCGGGGGAGGTGGCGACTGAAACTCTCCAGCATCGGAGGAGGCCAGAGAGTCGCTGGAGGGTTCAGGGCTTCGGTCCTTTGTGCTTAAACCAATGTGGTGAAGGAGGAGGTTCCCAGGAGGCATTGGAAGCTCTGGGCTGACGTAGGAGTAAAGCTCCTCTGTGACCGGCTGGAGGCGACTGTAGGATCCCGAACCACCGGATCCCGTTCCAGAGCTGTCCTCCAGGGGGAGGTCCATAGAGCTCCGCCGAGCTCTGTAAATTCTGGACGCCAGCAGGTTTGGGTCTGCAGCTGCAGCGGCGGCGGCTGCAGCTATATGGAACTCGAAAACACTTCCAGCAGGAGGAGCGTCTGCCATTACTGGAGGGGCAGAAATGGGGAAGGAGGATGAGGAGGCGTGCTGAGGAAGGAAGCAGCTGTCGGATGATGAAGATGAGATGGACCCTCCAGTGGATGGAGTCATGGGGGGCAGCGGTGGGGGTATTGGGCTGTGTGCACTGATTCTCTGCAATATGTGTGGGTGTATGAATCCCGGTTGAGGTGGAGGACCAGGATCGAAGCCAACGCCTGCCGCCGCAGCTGCTGCCTGTCTCTGATGATGATAACTCAGGTGACCCAGCTGGTGGGCCGTCATTGGGTACCCTGCATACGCCATTGCTTCATAATGGTCCAACAAAGCAGCCTGATTAAGACTCAAACGCCTCACTGCTTCCTCGTGTTCTGCTCGCATGTCTTTATATCCAAACAAAGTGGGCTCGGACTGCCCTGGGAGATGCAGAGAGTCACCAGCGCCGAGCCTCTGAGCGGCTGCTGCAAAGCCAGGGTTCACCATAAAGAGAGATGGAGCCTCTGCAGTTTCCATGCCAGAAAACGGGTGCAGGGTGCTTCCGTACCGGGGGTAGGCTGGCTGAAAGTGACGTGTATGAGCCTCCAAGATGGAGGTGCTCTTGCGTCTCTGGGTGTTGTAGCCCTTTGGAGGCCCGGTTGGTGGAGGAGAGAAGGAAATGGGACGCTCAGCGATGGAGGGGAAGAAAATGTTCGGAGGCTCTGGGAGACTTGGGACTCCCCCGCCCGCTCCTCCGCTGTAGGGATGTGGCATTGAATGCTGCTGCGACAGTGAGATACAATCGATTTAAGCATGAAGATCAAGTGAATCGCATTGAAAAGGCCCAAATGAAATGGAGCGAGAGTTCTACACAAAACAAAAGGAATCTGTCACAACACAAGTAGGCTGAATCAGGAAGTTTACTTAAAAATGATAAAAAATAACAAAATCAGGTGAGGCGTAGATGTAAAGCTGGTTACAGCATGTGGATCACAGAGGTAGAGCTGCAGCACACAGACAGGCAGACCAAGAAAGACAGAACCCAAGCAAGAGGAGCTGGAGAGAAAGTGGAGAAGGCAAGAGGAAACGCCAAAAAGGCTCGAAGTCAAATGCATCTTCAGTCAGATAAAACTAATTATTTACAGGATTAAACAAAATGAGGCAGCTAGCATCTTGTGAGGAATAAATCACACATTTTCCTGTTTTTAGCACTCAGTTTGGTCTAGAATAAGATGTCTAATCTGACTGTAGATGCATCTCATACAAGACGTTTGTACCATGGAGCATGATCATGGCTCGTGACACTCAGACTCTTTGTTCAATATGAACACATGAGGGTCAACTCCAGGGAGAGAGAGAGTCAAAGAGAGATAAACAAGTCGGTGCTGACCCACCATGATCCTGGGGTTTCCCACTCTGGATGTTTTAGGCATTTCTCAGCTCAGACACACATTGGAATTCCCTGAAGGATAACTGAACGGCGACTTTGTTCTAAACATTTGAAGTGTTGGGATTATTGATGATGTGTGAGTCTGTTAAACCCAAATAATACCTGCCTGAACTAATTCCCAAACGTGTGATGATGTGGCACACTGGAGTTGTATAAAATGCTTCTTTAGCTGCGATTCCACTTCAACGACATGTGGTAAGAGCTGCCTTCTGTAACTGTAAGCATCTTCTCTGGTCTGTTTAAGATTACCATTTCCTTAAAAATCTGTCATCATATCTCATGGTATTTAATATATATACTTTATGAAGTGTTATTTAAAGAGTTTCTCCTTATGGATGTCTTCTTAGGATAAAAAACAGAGAAAAAGCTTCAAGGTTTAAACACAGAGCTTTCCTTAAAGACAGCTTAAAGAAGCCAACAGTCAGAAAAATGTAAAGATTAAACTAGATTTTACAGGCAGACTTTAAAGAGTTTCTTCTATTATATCATCCAAGAAAAATCTAAAAGGATAAACTTTTCCTTCAGGTATTTTATCAGATGGTGGAACATCTGTTTTCTAACTCTTTTACTTTTTTTACTTTACATTGTTGGTGGTTTCTCATGAGGACTTCCCTAACAGTAAATGAATTTGCATGTGTGAGAAGCCGCCGAGACTGCAGGAGGAGCCAAAGAACATATAAAAAAAAAAACAGCAGCATTTAGTGCTGCCTTAAAACATGCAGAGGAGTAAAGTCCCAGGATCAGCACTAAAAGAAAAAAACGGATGCTCAATATTTTTAAGATGCAATCTTATGAGCAATTATTTTTCTTTTGCTAATTTACCTGTAAACTGTTAGCATCCAAGCTGATATAAGAGCTCAATTCTAAAAAGTACAGCTTGTGAGAAATTAAAACTAATTTTTTTTGGTGTAGTTTTTAATGCAGCTTTAAAAAAAAAAAAAAGTTGAATTCTTGTTATTGGTTTGCTGGTAACAATAACAGATATATACCTGTATATCGTATTACTAATGAACTGAAAACATTAAATTCATGTTTGTAACTTCCACTAAAATTGAAAAAAAAAAAAAAGTTTCTCATCTTTTTCTCTCTCTTCCCTATTTGACTCCCCTCCCAACGGGGGGATTATACATGTGAACCTACAGGGGTGAAGAACAGGGCAGGCAGGCTGGCCCTCCGCTGCTTGGCCCTGGGCTGAGAGGAGCCCGAGTGAAGGGGCAGCACCGTCTCCAGGGCCTTAGAGAGGCGGCCAGCGAATGTGTCCCTCTCAGCTGCGAGAGGCACGCAGGGGGAGGCGGTGGAGGTGTGGAAGGACAGGTCTGGAGGAGGCGTGGCGGGCTGTTTTGGAGGAACGACCACAGACGAAGGAGCGTGGGAAAAGGAGTACGAGGAAGGGGGGACGCAAATAGACATGCTACGGCTTCGACGGCCGTGTGACGCAGGCTGCAGGCCAGGGAGAGGGGATGGAAGAAGGTGAGATTAACATGGAAAATATAAAAAAAAAAAAAAAAAAACTGCACTTCAAGAGAAACAAAAGAATAACAGGATGAACCAAGAAAACTGAACTGAAATAAAATGCAGGTTAACATTTTCAAACAGACATTTTTTTTATCTAATATTAGAGGCAGATCACCTCACCAGGAACAACATAACATGTTTCTAACACAATACTTTAAAGATTCTACAATAACTAGATTAAATCAGAGAGGACATAAATGATCATGTAATCAAAGGAGTAAATAAAAGACAAATACTTAACATGAGAAAAAACAAACATCTGAAAGATTGTGGAAAATTTGACTTCAAGCAAGAATGACAGTTTTTGATTCAGAAACCCTCTTTTAAGAAGTGGTCTAACCCAATACATCAAGTAGTTAGCAAACTCTACCAGCGCCAAGAAGCAACCTTTGATGACAAAATGGGGCTTATTAACTCAATGAATCTATAAACTCAACAAATGCGTCAGAAAGAGTCTTTTCTTTTTTTCTTTTTTTGTAAATCAGTCCAGAATAAAGTCGGATGAGATAATAATGATGTTTAATGCAACTCATAACTTTATTAACAGCCACTTTGAAAGGGACATTAGGAAAGGAATCAAACTAATCTGCAGCATAATTGCAAGAAAATTAGATTATTTAAAAAAAATGATCTAACTGTATGAATTATGTTACATTTGGACCCTAAACCTTTAGTTAAACAAGTAAGGAACATTTTTTTCCCCACAAGTTCTCTTGTTTTTTTGTTTTTTTTTATATTGTTGCTGTAATCATTTGTGTATTTCACAGGGATTTTACCCAATAAACCAACAAAATGAGCAAAAATCTAAAACCTGTGGGATGAATCTGTTTTAAAATCCTCAGTCAAATATTTGTTAAACCACATTTTCTGTAGCTCCAAGTCCTTAAAGGTTTGCTTTTATTACTTTTTCCCAACAAGAAGTTGAAATGTTTGCAGTCTGACTGGAAATATATATATTTTCTAAGCATCAATCAGGTCTTTATTGTGACTGTAAAGGTAAAGGTAGCTAAATAACAATGCACACAAAACTTTATAGATTTTTAGATGCAAAAGTGTTGTAATATAGTACTTTGTGTTGATCTATTATAACACGGTAGTGCATGGTTGTAAAAAATTGGGGAAAATGTTGCAAAGCGCCGCAACAAAAGAGCGATCCTTTCTAAAGAAAGGAAAATGGCATCAAATGTTGATGAAAGAGGTGGAAAGAAGTGATCGTAAAAAAAAAAAAAAGGTGTAAAGTGAAATCTTTGAGGGTGAAGAATATGACTCAACATAAAGTGAATGGTCCCTGGAGTAGGAATTTTTCCACTTGTCCTCTGAAAATGAAGCAAATAACTGACCTAATGTCTGAATGTTAGGGAGAACATCTATCTGTGTTACCTGACCGATGAGTTAAATGGTGGTGATGTTATAAAGTTTTGTTTTCCTGTCAAAATTAGATTTAAGGGTGTAAATTCCATGCCATTGTTGCATAAGTGAGCAGTCCAACAATTTCTGGTCTAAAGTTATTGATGCAACAACCGAAACATCTTCATTCCCACTTCCAAACACTGCAAACTGTCACTAAAGCTCACTCCAAAATAACTGATGAGTCATTTCAGTGACAGGCAGGAGCTGACCGCCATGAGGCCTTTACATAAAGCTGTTACTCACCATTGGCTGCGGTGGCTGCGAGTAGCCTGGATGCTGCTGCGACGCAGCCGAGGGAGTTTGGGGGTATGGGGTCTGGGGTTGGGAGGGGGGCTGGGAGGACGGGGGGCAGCTGTAGGACATAGTCAGCTGACCCAGGTGGGGGGAGTCGGAGGAGAAAACCGAGGAACCTTGTCCGCTGTCCAATCCGCCTTCAGCTAAAGTGAAAAACATGGAGGTAATCTGCTGTTAATCTACTGCAGCAGAACAAAGTGAAAGAAAGTCAGAGAAGAACGAGGAATCAGTTCTGGGTTGATTTCTGATTAAATATGGCCGAATCAAACTTATAATATCCTGCTATATTACTACATGTTTATCAGCTTTAGCAATTAAATATAGATGAAGGTAAACTACATGGTACATAAACAGCTCCCAGCCTTACATGTGTGAGAATGCTGGTGGTGAAGTTGTTCTGACTCTGCATCCTCCATCTTTGACTGGAAAAAAACACAAGCTTGGAACGTTACACATGAGAAAAACACAATCAAATCAATTCAGGTTTGATTCTAGTCACATGATCTCAAACTAAATCAGAAAAGCTCTTTATGTTAATGTACTGAGATCAAAACTGTATAAAATTCCTTACATATATTTGCTTTGAGATAATGTATCATAAATGCATATTTTCTTCTAGCCTTCTCTGACTTTACCAAGTTTTTTTTTTTTTATGCCTGTTTTCAGAGCAGCAAAAAACACTTCAGGTTTGGAGATAAACTGATGATAAAACCCCCATAAATGTTGGACATAGTCTCGCATTTCATGTAATAACATGAAGCAGAATGAGAGAGGTTTATTAGTTAGAGATTATTTGAACCTTGGTGCACAAGGGAGGATTTTCTCAGATCCTTCCTCCCAGCTGCTGTTAACCTCCATAAAAAAAAATCCTTGTTTCCACAAACCTGGGGAGCTTTGAACGCCTCTTTTTGCTGCTCTGCCTCCAGCTTTCTCTTCTCCTGCTCCTCTCGCACCAGCTGCCTCTGTTCTCTTTTCTTCCTGATTAGAGACACGCGATCCTTGATCGCTTTGGCCATGGTCTTGTGGTCGGCCTCAGCAACATAACCCGATTCCACCTGTAGGATTTAGCGCGAAGATTTTACATTTCCCATCTGCGTATGTTGCATCAAATGTTTAAATAAAAACTTCCAGATCTTGAGCACCCCCCATAAGGAGCTGAACCTACCATTTCCTGGGCAACATCTTCCGGTACATCTCTGTTCAGGTCAAAGGAAAATTCGATGGCTTCGTTTTCTTTATATTTACCTGTAGGCATGTGAAATAACGCTGTCCATTATTAACCTTGGCTGTACAAATATAAGCTTAGGGGGTTTTCTGTCAACACTCCTCTCTGAGCCTCTAATAAAAGCTCCTACACACAAATGAATACTAAGTTTCCCAAATTCTTGCCTTTGAGCTTCTTGACGTCCTCTATTCTGAGCCAAAGTTTGATAGCAATCATCTCTCCATCATCCTCCTCTGCAAGTTCAACCCTGACCCCCGTCTCCTCCTGGAAGAATGCGTGGTTCAGCAGGGTCTTGATGGCATATCTGGAGGTGACAGAGACATGCAGAAAAATAAAAGCAGGAAACTACACAAAGCTAGAGCAGCTTTGTATGACAGTACCTAATTATGACTAAAATTATTTAGCATAAAAACAGGAAGAAGAAAGACTCAAAGAAATAAAATAACAGGAAGCACAACAAGTCAGAGAAGAAATCCATATTTGGGGGCAGTTTTTATCCTTGTGACTCACCGCTCATCTTTGTCTGTTCTTATACAGCCCTCTATAATTTCCTTCACCTCAGGAATGGCCACCTTGTCAAAACTCGCAGGCTTCACTCCCTGCAAAAGAAAAAAAAAGAACAAAGTGCAGAGAAAGCTTTTAACACATGGAGAGAAGGAAGCAAAATTCAGGTTTCTTCTAACTTATTGCTACCCATATATAGCTTTTAATATCTAATTCAAAGTTTCTAATTTTCACCTTTGTACATAATCTTTCTTTTCATGCATGACTTAACCATATGTGCAAGTATGTTTTTTTTAGATGAGCATCAGATGTTTAACTCAGTAAGATAAATGAAATCGGATGTTAGGGTTAAATATTTGTTGATCAGAGGACCTGCCGTGTCAGAAACCCGTCAGTAAAGGTTTGACCCTACAAAAAAACAGCTGAAGGGGAAAATAATGAACCACAGGGTCACAGAAGCAATTAAGAGCTCAAGTACCCGTTTCTGAGATGTAATACTAACGGACATAATCAGCTGGACTCCAGCTCAGAGGTTTGGCACCAGGAATGACGGCTATGGCTGAATAGTAAAAGGCAATACATGCCTTATTGGACAAGAGAAAAAAAAAGATATAAAGTTCAGAGAAAAATAAATCATAATAAAAGAAGAATACATCAATGAAACATTGGAAATGCTTATTTTTTTCTAAATAATAAAAAAATGCATAAAAGAGAATAAAGTTGCTGGTTTTACATGCCACTAAAAAGATACAAATATTTTTTTTATGTAACAGAAAACAGACATTAAATTATTGGTATTATAATTAATAATATTTTTTTTTATATTTCACTTTATTCCCTTTATTGCTTTACAAATAAAATTTTCTAAATTAGTTAATGCATACGGGACATTAATGCATCTGTAGGAATAATTTTAGATTACAAAGCTTCTTAAATGACTTTAATGTCACATTTAACTCCATATATTAGCGAAAAAGCAGAAATTAAAAAAAACAAAAACAAAAATAAAAAGCACCAAGTAAGCCTATTTTTCTTAAAATAAGTGCACTTTTTCTGGAATAATGACATTTTGCCAATAAAGAATTACATTTAAAGTAAGAAAAACAACTGCAGTCTCTTATTTCAAGTACATAAAATCCACTTATCTTATTTTAAAGGGTAAAAATACTCATTTTACTGAGATTATGTTTCAACGATTTACTAAATTGCACAATAAATACCTTTGGCTTATTGCTTTTTTTGTTATATGATCAAATGTATATAATTACAAATATAATTTTCCATTTATTCTGCATATCTATCGCTGCTCTTTGTCAAATCTGATTACAAGCTAACCAAGTTACGGAAAATAAAATGTGGATTGCTGATAAAATTTTCCACACACAAGCTCCACCGTTTAAACTCTGTCTTGCAGATAAATTCAACGTAACTGGATCTAAGACGTACGAGTCAATTAAGAGTTAGAATAATGATGCAATGCAACACAAACAGGGCAGGCAGATAATAGTTAAACACAAAGAAGAATTTCAACATATAGCAGAGAGGGGAAGCTTTAAGGTTGGTGAAATGAATAACTTACCAACCAGGTGGTGAAAAGAAAAAAAAAAAAAAAAAAATCAATAAAATCAAGTTGATGGAGTCAAACCAGAAAATTATTTTCCTCCTACTCTTCCCGTTTTCCTTAGCATGTTTCTTTCCTGCAACCCACCGTCATATAAGAAGCCTCATCGCTCTGTTACACGCTCTAACGAACACACATGCACACCGCTGGGATTCAGAAGCAAACAAAGTTGGGACGGATGGTCAATGTAATGGCATTAAGTCTGGTATAAGAAGCAAGGGATGCAGAGAAAGCTAGCTTTTAGTTAAATAAAGCTAATTGGGAGGAAGGAATGTTCAGAATGGAGGAAGACTAAATTACACCATCCCGGCTTAGCAAGGTTTAAAACAATGATAACAAACCATGAAGAGTACACAACACAGTGTTTGCTCTCTTGGACCAAACATTCCCATTAAGGAGAATAAAAAACAAAACACAAAAAAAAAAAAAATAATAATAATAATTTAATTTGATCATCTTAAAAGTCAATTTAATGTGTTGGACACAAAAATCCTCCACATTTCATAAGGAAAGAATGTCCTGGAAAAAAAAAAAGTTTCTGTCAGACAGCGCCATGCAAAGGCTTTAACCCCCCCAGCCCCCCCGCCCGGTTCTTGACCTCTTTTGCTAATCTAATTTAATGTGACGAGCTTAGCGAAATAGTTGGAAGTCGGTGAGTTTTAATAACAAAAAGTACATGAAAACAGAATTTCTAAGACAAACAAACAAGCTGAAAATTGCCGATTGTGTATTTATTCAGCTGCTTTTTTATGAGGCGCCTCACTGGTTCTGATGCAGATAATTCACTTCAATTATTGGAATGATGTCCACCTGAGTCACATGATCCGTCAGTGTAAAAACACTTTCTCTGAAAGGTCACTGAGGCTGCAAAACCACAAAGCAAGAGGCAACACACTATGAAACTCAGGAGCTCTCTAAATAAGCCCCAAAGTGGTTGATAACTAAAACTAAGAGGGAGATAAGGGCATCAATCAGAGAGCCAGCAGGGTATAAATGTAACTTTGGGGGAGCTGCAATGCAGACTAAGCCTTTCAGAGCATCAAATCTCTTCCTGAAATAATGTTGGTAAAAAAGCAGAAAGGCTTTTTGTCCCTGGAAACAGTAAACATGGTGAGGCTGCATTTCATTTTCATGCAGGTTTGGTAAAGCCTCAGTGAGGAGGTCAAAGAAGCCTCTACCTGACAATGTTGAAAGGTATAGAGGACGATCTTTTTTTACTGGGTGGATCATCTAAATAAGTGGTCCTCCTAACTGTCCATCATTCTGGTGATGTGTTTACGTAATGCCGTAAAAGTGTAAACGAAATGTATGAGAAGAAAAGAAAGGCCTCACAACAGGTAGATATATCCCAGAATGCTTTAGGCAGAGAGCTCTACTTGCAAAGCATTATGGGATTTGCTGTCAGACTAATAACAAAGATGGAGCAGACACCGCGCGGTGGAGGAGGTGTTACCTGAGCAACGGGAAGCAAAAAGTACTGATCATCTGTCCGAACGGTCAGTTCACTATAAAGTCCACTATATAGTTCCCTCTCTTTAAAGTGATTGAGGGATTTAGGGGTTAGCGCGGATGTTCCGGCACAGTAAGCTTCTATGAGCTATGAATACAGCAACTTTTAAACAGAGCGCGCACGAGGAGAAATGGGCTTTTGTTTTTTTTTGTTTTTTTATTTGCAAAAATCCTCCACATTACCTTTAATTCCAGGTTAAAAACATGCCTATTTAATGTTAGCTATGGTGATTGATTGTATTTTAACTACTTGTAATATACAATATGCATTTTTTATATATTTGTATTGATTGATTTAGTATTGTGTTTATTTTTTTTATTGTGTTTTATTGTGTTTTATTCTGTTTTTATTGTTTGTGTTGCTCTCAGGCACATTGCGTTGCCTTGTGCATGAAATGTGCTGTATAAATAAAGTAACCTCGCCTTGCCTTCTGACACAGTAGTACAGAAATTTATATTTAACCCAGTAAGCTGAGACAGTTTTTGAATGTTTAAAAAAAAAAAACAGTCCAATCAGTCTTTAATTCCTGTATCTGACTTCAATTTAAGTCACTACGATAATAAATCTGTCTGAGACCAATGGGGAAGCTTCCTGGTTGAAAAAGAAAGAAATTTAAAAAAATTATTAGACTATTTTAATCTAAATATAATTAATATTTATTGAGTAATATATTTTTGGACTGTGAGAGGAAGTGTGTCTAGAGAGAAGATCCTCATAGGAAATTGTCTCATAGTCCAAGTGGTTAAGATTCAACCAAGGAAGACTGTTTTAAAGATTTGTTATTAAAATGAAAACTTCCAAATCCAAACTTTTTTGTGCACTTATGATCAAATCAGACTGATAATCAGCTAAAAAAACCAAAACAAACAATTACAGATATCCAATCACTTAAGTCCTGAGAAAAATCCACTAAACATTAAGTTATTTGTTTATATAATCTGTAGAAAAGTCAAAGAAGAGAAAGGAAGTTGGTGATAAAGCTTCCTGTGGTTATCATAGGGTCTTATCCAACACACTGTGACAAATTCAGGAAATTTTGCCATGTTTTGCTAAATGCTATGTTGTTTAAAGTATATGAGATCACTCAGTTTAATGATCCTTAGGGCTCAGATCACCATAATAATCCAACAGGGCTTTAGCTTTCATAAAAACATTGCAAGAGATAAAAGGAATTGGAAATAGGGAGCTTGGTTTTAAGCCAGACGTTTGATCTAAATAAACCACAGTGTCTGAATTTACTCAGCTCCTGTAGGGTCCTAAATCAAACTGTCACTGCTCCAGCTCCAATTGTCAAAGCACTTCAGGTAATCTTGATCTAAATCTTTTCAATTTAAATGTGCAAGCCAAACATAAGAGGTGGAAACTATTTGGATTAAATCAAAAACTCTGAAATTGGACTTTAAATGAATCTGAATACATTAAAAATGGGCAGCTAAAGGTTACAATTTGGCTTTTTTTACGGAAACTTTTATAAAGCGTTTATGTGAAAAATGAATAAAAAGTTCTATGTTTTTTGTCTTTAAAAGTAGAAAATAAAGATGGAGTTAAATACATTATGGACCAAAAACAACCCAATCCACATAGTTTGAGTCAAAACGGAAATCCAAGTGATCCATTTACAGACCAAAAATATAATTGAAAGTAGGGCAGAAACCAATGATTATATTTTAAATCAAATCATCTGTTGATTATTTTTTCGATTAATAAACTTAAACTTTTCCACTTGAGGAGTTCTGGATAGAGCATATTGACAGACAAAAAATATCTTTATCTTAAATCAGGGTTTATGCATGAATGAGTAACTCTTATTTAATGCTTTTTAATGCTCTTAGAAATAATCTTAATGCCATCAACAAGTACCCATGACTATGTATATATACAAGGCAAAATCCTTTGTCATCTTCACCGTGGACAGGCTGCAGCCACGTCCGGAGTTTCTCGTTTTCCTGCCACTTTGGTTCAAATTTGCCTTTTCCCCATTCTCTGGCCTTTTCTCTGCCTCAAGCTTTTTTTCCAAAGCATTTTAATGCCACGATTATCAAATTTAATAAATTTTAATGCCAATTAAGGCCTTAATTTAAAAAATAATTATTTAATGACTTTTAATGATTTTTAATGACCTGCGGAAACCCTGTAAATGCAAAATGTTTTCACATTCTTTTGATATTTTGGTATAATTACTGCTTGAAGTGGGTTGCTCTGTCAGCTAAAGGTATATTTTAGAACCTCTATTTTATATATCTCCATTTAACGATTAATCAATTACTAAATTAGCTGACGATTATTTCAATAATCCATTAATCACAATTAATCCGATTAATTGTTTCAGCCCTACTTGAATCTCTTTAATCATAAAGTAGTGACATTTGTCAGATATAACAGCTAAACACATTAGTGCCATTCTTTTCAAAATAGAAGAAAACAGATGTGTAATCCAGAACATAATAATCTGAAGCTAAATCTCTGCAACACAGATATTTACACTTAAGCTGTAGCTGTTTTCATCAATCATTTCAGAAGTAAAACAACTTAAGTTTATAAGTTTTAATTAGAAATAGTTTACATTCCACCCCCAGTTGCTGAACCTTCTTTTGTTATGTGCTCAGTTGTTGCTAAACTATGGGCATAATTGATTTAGTTGCATTAATATCTTGCTTATCATCAGTATTAATACATTCTTTGGACAAGTTCTGAAACCGTTAATCTTGATTAATCAATTATATAAATAATCATCAACTGATTTAGTAATTGATTAATAGTAAACTGGAGTATAGAGACAGTAAAACATGCCTTTAGCTGACAGAGCCACCAAATTAGAGCAGGAATTGTAAAAATAATATGTAAAAATTTAGCAATTAAGAAAAAATAAATTACATCCATCAATATTTTCTATCTAGAACTCCTCAAGTGGAAAAGTTTTAGTTTCACCTGGTTTAAAAAAAATCATCTTTAAGAAATCTTTGGTTATCCGACTATTAATCGATTAATTGAAAAAATACACAACAGACTAAACGATTTGCTAAATAATTGTTAGATGCAGCTCTACATTGGACAAAACTATGTTGGTTCGATGGAAAGATAGATGGAGGGAAACTGATCACTGGATCAGTTGACTTTTTCTGCTTAGAAAGAACTGAAATAAATAAATAAATAAAACGATATCCAGTCTTTTCTAACCCACGTTGAAACCTTTCATTAGTTTTTGTGTTTAGGTGAGAATCTTAAAGCTACAAATATAAGAAAAGTAAAACAAAAAGCGACTAACGGTTTTGCTAAATCCTTTCAGAAGACACTGCTATGGTCAAACATGATCGACCTCTGGTTTGCTGCTACTTTCTTTTATTAAAAAAATCTGTTTTGCAAAAACAGGAAGAAGCGGGAGGCAATAGAGAAAGGCCTAATCAGAGCAAAAAACAACATCATATGACTGAAACTCCTGCAGCTCATGCCAAACTTATTAATACAGTCAGTAAACAAGTGTAGAGGGGAAAAAGCGGACAGGCGATGTAGGTCAGAAACAAAATGACAAATAAAACTCGGATTCGACTGACTAATACAACAAAACTCATGATAGATAAACTGAGAGGATACAGAAAACAGAGACTTACACTTGTTACCCGTCTGTAGATCTGCGCTGCATTTTGGCATTCCGAGTAGGGATACTCAGAGGTTGCCATTTCCAGCATGCACATGCCAAAGGCATAGACGTCCACAGATTCATCGTACTTCTCCTCATACATCTCAGGAGCCATAAACTCTGGAGTACCTTTTAAAAATAGAAATATACAAGTTTTAGATGCCATTAGATTTCTTAAAATGTGCCAGGAAACAGTTTACACCTCTGACAGTAAAATTCAGGTCATAAACTGTAATAAAAAGAAACGTACTACAAACCACAGACTGCAATGTGTCCAAATAGTTGAGGTCTCTGTAATTACTACAAACAGCGAACCTTACTTAAAGGTAGAGGAGGAGGAAGATGGAATTCAGAAAAAATACCTGTGGTCAGCCTGATGGCTACTCAACCAAAAAACAAGCCAAGTTTTCTTTAGACATTTTTTTTGTGTGCAGCCATTACATCCTCAGACAGCCTAAATCTAGCTTAACAGCAGACATACTAAAGGTACCTTCCAAAATAACTGTGGTTTACTTTAACGACCAGCAGTAAAATGATCGTGAATGTTGTGGATGTTTGCATTTAAACGGCAATTACTCCTGCAAAAGTGAAGGTATGCAACCTTTAAAATTCCGTCCATCAGCAGGGCGTTTTCTTACCTATAACGCTTTTGGCGAAGGATGCCCTCTTCAGGGTGGCCAGTCCCAGGTCTCCGATCTTTACAGACCCCGTTGGCCCTGTGATGAAGATGTTATCGCACTTCAGGTCTCTGTGGATGATGGGCGGGGCCCTGGTGTGCAGGAAGTGAAGACCTTTGAGGATCTGTCGGCACCATGAGCGCAGGACCTTAATTTTCATGACCTTAAAGCGTTTCAGATACCTGAAAGGGAAATAAAAAATTCAGTCACACTTTGTTTCACATTGAAAAGAAACAACAAGGCCAACTGCATTGCTTACAATACTATTATTCAGCTCTAAAAAAACAGCTTGTGGTTTTAAAATCCAAAATCATCATCAACCAGACTGTTCAATTAGCGTTTGCTTGTTTTTATTTACATTTCAAGCAGCCTTTATTTCCCCTCAGTAGCTGGAAAATATGTCCTACTGTTGCCACCATCTGAACAAACCCACATCAAACACAAAGCTGCCTTTCTGTTATGAGCAAGAATTTTAAGGTTGACAATGATGGGAAAATTAATGAGTCCAAATCAAAGTTTGGCAAGGCAATAAAAGCAGAGAAACAGGCCCAACACCATCATTAAAACATGAAGCTTATGTAACCACTGTTTACTAAGTCCGAAGGTCTATGTCTAAACAAATCAGTATAAATTGCCCCATCATTGTGCAAAACGTTAAAATTAGAATGGATATTATTGAAACTATTCCTTAGACATTGTTTAAAGTTACCACTTGATTTAAAAGCACAGATACAAAAGGTCCGTATGAACCCTTTCTATAAACAGACTTTAAATAAAGAAGGAGAGAGGTGTTTGCATTTTGTTAGAGAGGGGACAGGATAAACAGATGCAGAGATCTAATAGGAGATAGATGATAGGTGGATGCAATTATGTACAGATAATGGATTTAATAAATAGTCGGATGGTTTAAAACTATTTAAATGTAATTTTAGTGAGATTGAGGTTTTTACGAATGATGGATTGATACTATTTATACAGAAAACCTTGGTTTGCATGTTGCTGAAGTGATACACAGATTAGTTTTTTAGACAACTGAATATATAATTAGTGTTGCACCGATTACATATTTCTGGCCGATCAAAGATTCCTGATATTTAAAAAGCCTGACATGCCGATTCTTGTTTTAATCGATACAGATTCCCTTTTACAAATTACACTGTCCGTTTCTATAAGATCACAAGATATTTGCAAAAAAAAAAACATTGCATGTGAAACAATAAAAAGTTCAAGAATAACTGCTCTCAAATAGAAATTAAAGTTTAAGGCAATGGCAGTGGGAGGTTTTCAGACCTTTACAGAGTAGATCAGATTAATGGAAAAGATCAAATCAATGTATTGGCTGATCACCTAGGCCAGATTGGAAGGCCGATAAATCGTCCACCCCTCATACTAAGGAAATACATTTTTCCAGTCCTCTCCTGACTGAACAGGGACTCTGGATTAGGGCTGAACGATTTTGCCAAAAATGAAAATCTGCGTTTCATTTCAACCAATATTGTGATTGCAATATTTTTTTGCAATTCCCCTTTACACTAAGCACAAATATGTAGATATTTCACTAAAGGGTTGACCTTGATGCAGGACTTAACTGTAAACTTTATGTGAAAAAGTTCCTACTTCCTGCAACTGTCTCTTCCCTTCTGTGTAGTAGAAAAACTATTTTAAGCATATTACCACCATCTAAAAGGCTAGAAGAAATGTACTTACCAAAATCCATCTTAATGTTGTTAAATGTAATGCAACTAAAATTGAAAGCCTCTGTGATTTGAAAATTGCTTTTTGCCCAGCCCTACTCTGGATCTAGGATTAAAATTCTAAATGCAAAAATATCTATTCTTAATATCACCATAAGAATGATTTTTTTTAAGTCACCAAACATTGAGAGTTTTTTGTTTGAAACCTTTAAAGGTACAAAATGATGAACAACAAAATCTTAAGTGATTTTGAAACACAAGAGAAAATACTCTTAGAACAAACAGGTTTTTTACCGATATTTCAAATAAGAAATTTTGTTAATTTAAAAATGAGGTCAATTACTGACAAAAATATATATCTCGTAGAATTTTTTTAATGCCTACAAATTAAAAATTAAAGGGAAAATTTGTTTCACTTATCTATAAAAACCTAATGGATCTAAAAAAAGAGCCCCTACAAATCAAAGCAAGATGGGAAATAGAGGGCAATTTGACAATAAGAGAGGAGGAATGGGGAATAATATGGAGATACCATTGGACATATAATAAATCTCTACAATGGCAAGAATTTGGATGGAAAAATCTAAAAAGATTTTTTATCACACCTGCTCAAAAATGCCACTACGACAGAATTTCCCCCACATTTTGGAGGAAATGTAGAAATCAAAACGCAAACATTATCATGTCTTCTGGGACTGCTCAATTATTAAAGATTACTGGAAATAAATAAATAATGCTTTAAAAGACATTTTCAGACACAACATTCCTTTGGAGATCAAGCTTATATATTTTGGCATAATTCCTCAAGAAGCCTCAAAAAGAAATAAATATTTAATGAGGATTTTATTAAGAGCAAGTAAGAAAAACATTAAAAGAAAATGTTTATTACAGGACAAAACAACTTTAGACGACTGGATCGACATAACATTTAACATATGGAAAAATAATAACAGCCTCTCTAGATCACAAGACTGAACAAATCTGTCAGTGGAGGCAGATTAAGGTAGAATATATAAAATTTAAAAGATCGGATTTCAATTTTAGAGACCAAACGTGATTAAATCTCCTCAACAATCCACCCTCCTTAGATATTAAACTGAATTAAGTTTTTTTATTGTTGTGTTTCCTCTTTATAGTTTTTTGTTCTTCTCAGGGAAGTAAAATGATTTTGTTTGGACTACTATAACGCAATGCCTTACTTATTCTGATATTTCAAATGTTGGAGTTAATCCTGTGAAGTAGAGGCCTATGTCTATGTAAATGATACTTTCCTGAGAATCAATAAAGATAAAAATAGAAAGAACAAAAAAAAGCCTTTAAAGATACAAAGATTCAAACAAAATCAATGTCAAATCTAAAATGTTTATCGTTTTATAGACAAAACTGAAACCATTCCAATGATTATCATCAGTGAGGCTGTATTTTTTTTACTAATTATGTTATTATTTTAGGCAGTGCCGGCGAAATAAATCACATAGTTTTGGAAGATTTTATCAAACAGACAAACAATTATGTAATCTGAACCTATTAAAGTTTGATAACCGTGAACAACAAGTCATAAATTATTGTGTAATTATTCCATTATTAAAGTCATTTGAAAGAGTCTTTCATTATTTCTGTTTGATAAGTGAACATTTGGAGCCTTTCCCAGCACACGCCTTGTGGCAGGCAGGGAAACACCCGCTGAGAGGCTGCCAACTGATCCTCAGAGCCAAAACAGATCCACACCTGTGGGCGTTTAAGACGAGGCACCTGGTTCACATGGCTCTGGAACGATGGAGGAAAAACCGCTGGATACACGAAAGATGCCTAAATATTTATTTTTCTGAAAATCAGCAGGGTTATTTACACAACGGCGCTACTGTTAAAGCGTCATAACAAATAGTTCTCCTCCATTTTTGATCCTCAGCTTTTAAATATTTGAATACCTTTAATTATTACGGTTTAACAAAGGCAGGGTTTTAAAAGATACAGCGAAGTAACTTCTGATTAGTGCAACGATAAAGAAGATAATACTTTAATACTTTGTGAAATAAAATTGATAAACAGCATTCCACAAAATAATATTTAACCCCTTAAGTCCAGAGGGTCTTAGGAGGAAATTCCGCCTGAAATTGCATTTGTGAATAAAATAAAGTACAGCTTCCAACCTTTAAACTAGAAATACATTTTTTTGTATTTGTAAGACAGAAATGCATTGATATTTTTCAGGTGGAGCCACTATTTTAGATGTCACCATGTCTGATTTGTAGGTGATTAAACAAAGAAAAAAATGAAAGATTTTTAGTCTCAGCAACATTTTTTTCCAAAATTAACACTTCAAAACACCACAAAAACCCATTTCAAACTCTGGATGAACCAAACAACTCCAAACAAATTGGGACTGAGTAAATTAAAGCATGTTTGTTCCACAAAGGTTTTAGTGGGCAGTGTGCTAGGCGGAAATGTGATTTTGGCACAGTTCCAAAAGTGGCCAAATTGTGACAAATGCATTTTTCCTACTCATAAAAAGGAAAAAAGAACATCCTCCACTATACCTTTAATTTCTACATCTAAAACTAAACCTGCTCTATTAGGTTAATTCCCAGCTCAGACATAATCTGTTCTGTTTCTCTCTGCGTCCTCTAGGGCAGAGCTGCCAACAGGTCCAGCAGTAAATTTGTCGAAAAATGATTAGAAAAAGGCAAGTCGTTAAACAGCTTTTATCGACAGTGACTACACATCAGTTTATGATTTAAAAAAAAATTATCTTAATCTTCTTAAATCTTTTATGCTTCTTTGATCTGATTTTAAACATCTTACAGCACTGAAAATATGCAGTCATATAGTTCACATTGAAGGGGGGGAACTTTCTGAGCGGCCAATCAGTCCGGGATTATCCGACGTACAATCTTTGGATTGGGAGAACAAGGTTCACTCTATGTGCAACATGTACGATTAGAGCACACAGTATTTCTTTATATTAGCATATTGTAAATAACACAATAAGTGGCAAAATGTAAAACTGAGGTTAGCAAGCCTTTTTTCCCACATAGTTTACGTTTAAAAATCATCAAATATTTGAAGAAACTTACTAACTTTTAGTAAACATACCACAAAAAGTGGAATCTTTACTATTTTCTTCATTTCATCTTTTATTTCCACTTCTCACACACCTCTCTCTCACTTGTTTCACCCTCTGTCTCCCATCCTTTCACCTCCTCCTCCTCAGCCCATCTCCTGGTCTTTATTTCCCCCCTGTTCTGGAGTCAAAGCGGCGCTGACAGACGAGCTAAACCCTGTGGCATGCAGCAGCTCCAAAGTGACACTGCACAGCGTTTCTCCCACACAAAGTTGCACAACCTCGCTCTTATTTTAGCACACAAACCCAAGTACACAGATATGAATGTCACCTATAAGATACAGAAATAATATTTATTTAACACCAGAACTAAAGCAGCCCAAAAGCATCTTCATGCTTCTCTAATGTTCCTTTAATGCACTGCAGCAGCGCTGGTCAGCATTTCCATCTTTACTATCTTTCTCCCTCCCCCTTACCCCCCCCCCCCCCCCCCCCCTGTCATCTCTCTTTCTTTTTCCACTGCCTCAGCACAGCACCTCTCCTTTCCAAGGACTCATCTGGACTGAAGCCGAAACCCTGCGCGGCCTTTATCCTGTCCATAAACGCAGCAGCACCCAGGCTCACACAAAAACTACATCAAAACATCTACATTTCCATCAGAAAATCTGTTCTATTCCTGGTAATAAGTTTATCAGTAAGATTTTAAGAAAAGCTGCAACAGTTTTTTTTTTTTTTGCAACACATTCTGGTCTCATTAGACGACACTGCACTGCTTGCTTTCACTCAGCAGGAAATGCAATATCAGCTGCCATGTTGTTCAATTTAGCAAAATCAGTTTTTCAATCAGTATTTAAACTATTCCAACTAACATGGAAAGGAATTGTGACGCTTTCCAGAGGAGGGCGCCACTCTCCTGAAGGAATTGAGGCTAATATTTCTCCCTCTTGTGTTACAGGTGAGTCAGTGCTTTGTTACGCTAGAAGCAATATCCCTCTAAGATCCTTCTCTCTCCCTCTAAGTGTTACAGTCCGATCTCATATCGGTCCTCTTCTACCCCCGGTGCAGAGGAACAATGCCAGGAATGAGAGGAATCTGCAGATGAAGCAGCAGCTGGCAGGTGGGCTGGTGGTGTCCCATGATGCACCATGTGGCGCAGGCTTATTGCCTTTTCTGTAACAGTGACGTTCACAGATGCGCAGCTCTACTCATCGGCAGAGAGTGGCATTCAGGAATTACATGTCTCTTCCTTACTTTGGGGTTGGAGGAGGGGGTCTGACAGAGGTGCAAACATCCCAACATGCACACCGTAAAGTATCTTCATTATTCCCCTTTTCAGCTTTTTTCTATTTTAGATTTGAGCCTTTTAAAAATAACATTCAGATACAACCTGGGATTTAATCCCTCAGCATAAACTCAAGTGCCTTTAAGGTAATTGCAACCAATGACATTTTCTCCTAAGCTCTGCTCTTTCCATGAGCAGAAAAAAACCCTGAATAATTGGACCAATTATCAGTCTAAATCTGGTCTTTATAAAACATGTATATAAAAAAATCACAACTTGCATCATCATAAACAATATTAGACTTAAGTCTGGGTTGAGGGTCACTAATAGGTTTCGATTTAAGCATACTCATGTGCTTTAAGTCTACAGGTCTGCAACCTGCGGCTCCAGAGCCACATGTAAAGTGGTCAAAAAAAGATATAAAGACCTAAATAATATACTATCATAATAAATACCAGTCTTAGAACCTTTATTAGTTTTGATTAAGAATATTTAAATAGAACGAAAGCATAAAAGCATCAGAAAAATGTTTTGTAGTGCTATTCTTCTTTTAATTAGCTTGGAAATTATGTTTTTTATTATTATACCCTATAGAAGAAAATCAAAGCTTCATTTTTATGAATCGTTTACTTTTTAATTATTTTAAGCTAAAAAAGCAAATCAGCTGTTCGTTTTTTGAGATGGCAACACATTTCCTATAGCAGATATTTAACAGAAATAATACTTTTTTTTATATTAAAAGGTCATGTAATATTTTGGAGCGGCTGTTTGGATATGAAAGGTTGCAGACCCCTGAACTGGACAAAGTCCAGACCTAAATCCAGCAAGGAATCCCCTGAGCTCTGGGTAAAGCTGCCAGCCTCTAGTTGTGTAATGCTGGTAGAAACCTTCCACCCCTACTTATTACTTATACTTAGAAACTGCAGCTAAAGGTGTTTCTAAGAGGTTTTGAGTCTGACGTTGGGCAGAATGCACATTCAAATAATTACAGCTGAGACAGAACAGCTGGATCCAAACTAAATTCTGGAGGTGATTTTAAACCTAGCAGAGTTTGAGATTATTTTAAAACTGATGTTTTTATGCAATATTACTGTATTTCCTTTATGTTTTCCCTTGTGCTCTTTTTTTATTTTTTTTTGCCTTGTTTTTTGCCTCCTGTACTCACGTTTTTAGCGTGCCAGATGTCATGAGCTCGGTGACGAGAACAATACATTTCTTTCCTTTGCACAAACCCTCCCAGGAGTCATAGAAGCGGACAATGTTAGGATGCTGGAGACCCTTCAACATCCCGGCTTCCTCTTTGAAACGCTGGCGCTCCGACTTGGACAGCTTACGGTCCTGCACACAGGACACAGAAGGACAATTGGTGAGGAGGAGGCAAAACAAAGATAAATACAGCAATGTGGAAATCCGATTGGTAGAACCAGCTTTTTATATCAACTATTAAAACAGGGAGTTATTTTCAGTGGAAGAAAAGATTTTAGAGAGAAGTGGAAGAGATGAAGGTTAAGCTGAAGGAATAATAGGATTTTTTTTTCAAAAATACATAAACACATAAAAAAATAATGGTTTTCAGTTCATATTGTACCATTTTAGCTTCGTCTGAAGGCTCCGCCCACACTGCGTCCTTCAGGCTGCAACATGTTGACTGGACTGTTTATAACAAACTGCGTTCTCAAGTTAAAGTAGATCCGTGTGCAATTTTTCAGATATAATTTCATCAAAATGATAATGAGGAAATGAACTTTTATACTGAAGAATAATATCAACCATCTATACTAAAAATAAAGAAACTTTACATACACTAAACAATAGCAACATGCAATACTAACAAAAATCAGCTGTATAGTTGTTACATCACATACAATACAGAGATATAGTAATGGTAGTAATTCTCTATTGTCCTACTTAAAGGATGGGTTCTCAGTATTTATAAGCTGCTATTTCAATCTGTCAATTTGTAAATTAAGATTAATCCAATAATCCCCAATGACAACTTTTAATTGCATCGCTGTTAACGGGTATGACACCTAAACTAGTGTTGTTTTAGTGCTGCGATGTGGGTAAAAGCCTGCCTGGAATGCACGTAGGAGGCAGGATTAAACTTGTTTATAAGCTTTCTTCATTCAAAAGTTACACATGGATCAGTAGAAATATTCCCTTGATATACAGATTGGCCTTTTTTAGCACTACACATTCTAGTTTCCAGCAGAAATGCAGATAAATTACTATTATAGATCCTGGGGGAAGAGGAAAGTAGAATCTATGACATCTGAACCACAGCTCTGTGTTTGGTCTCTACATGTCATCGCAAAGCAGCGGGATCTTGACCAAAAACAAGCCAAGTAAAGAAAGTTACGGTCTACATTCCTCCATCTGAAACACACACATTTATGTGCATTCCCTCTCTACCAATTAAAGCTAAGTAGATGGACAGGGATGTGTGGGCAGGTCATTGCTTGTAGGAAGCTTAGAGTGACATTTACACATAAAAACAGTCACTCAGAAGGAAATAAACTAAATAATTCATAAAATATGCTGTGAGAATAACTCGTGTTTTTTCCCTTTTTTTAAATTTAAATTGAGTCTTAGTCCCAAACTGTTAAATGACGCATTCATCACACTGAACCAGAATTAAACATAATCTTGGCTGCATAACAGGAGAAATGGCGACAGATACTTAATTCTGAGGGGATTTGTGTTTGTTAAGCTGAATCCTTAACACGCACTTCCTACAGCTGTCGAACGAAGGATGCACCAGATTTAGTGGTTTGAAAATAAAGAAAACCAATGATTAAACTGACGTGGAACAAACATCCAGAGTGTTTTATGCCAATGAATGTCTGTGACCCTTTCAGAAGATGAAATTAAATGTAGTGAGCCAACAGATTAAGACAGGAAGAGCCACAAGACTGTCTGACTGGGAAAGTAATTTCGAAAAATGCAATTTACAAATCGTAGAGGCATTTAATTTTAGTCACGATATATTTAAAAAGAGTAAGACACTAAATGTTTTCCCTCCAGCCCTTTAGGTGGCGGTAATGTGATTAAAGTGAGTATGCTTTCACATAGAAAGGAACAGAGTTAAAGCAAGCACCCAGATCTATGCGTTATAATAGAAGTATGAACTTTTTCATGCAAATGTTACAGTAAAGTTCATGAAAAATGGTTAGTAAAACAGCAAAATGCTTGCGCTTAGTGCAAAGGAAAATCGCAATAAAATCGCAATCATAATATTGGTTGAAAATAATCGCAAAATTGAGTTTTGTCAAAATCATTCATTTTGCTAGATGAGCAAAAACAATCTATTTTATGGACTATCAAAGTTGAAGGTAAAATGCCCAACTGAATTCATTTTCCCCAGATTTTAGAGGAAATCTACACAATTTGAATTGGAAAAAACTTAGAATTGCTTTAACTTCAAAAACATGCTCTAATTTACATAGGTCTTGTTCAAAATTTCAATAAAATCCACTTAAGTCTTTCTTTGGAATGCAAAAATAAATTTGAAAGTTTTTGAATACTTCTGCAGAACAGAGCATAATCCAAGCTTTGACAATCAACACAAAGCCCCTCAACCAACACAGAGAAACAGCATCTTCAGAAACGTTTTGAGAGCAGCTTCCAAGATTAGAGGAATATCTGGGGCGATGAGGTCATACTGTACAACCCAGAGCTCCATCATGTGACTTATTCACTCTCCAGCACATTAAGGGGCTTTTCAATCACACTGGAGCTTTTAGAAATAATGCATGTTGGTGGAGGAGACAGCCTGAAAAAGCTTATCCCTTCATCATCCCTCTGCTGCTGATGATAGCCCATTAGCACAAACCATCCACCAGCAGCCTCACTAAGCTCTACTCCAATTCTCCTCTTCTTCTTCGGCTGTTTCGGCTCCGTGCCATCACATGATCTCCTTTTGAGGTCACATGACCGTAGCCACTAGTCACATGACTGCCTGGAAGACAACATCACATTTCCGAGCAGCACTTAGAAAAGACCCTGATGACCCATAACACTTAGAACCCTCTCTCTGGGCATTAGATGATCCTTCTCTTTTCTTCAACCTAATGATTTAAATCTTCATGCCTCATGTTTGCGCGACTCATAAATACATCAGATTGCAGTGAGAGAAAATAACGACTAGCCCTAAATCTGACAAAATAAGTCCTTTTAAAAATATGAAATCAAACAAGCACTACCTATGATTACAGTGGCAATTTATCTCCACTGAAGCGACAGGAATATGACCACATGTGTGCCTGTCTGCGCGTCCACAGACATTACTACAGACAGCAGACTGGAAGTCTGAGAGAACTAATCCAATATTAATATTTGCTTTTTTTTAAGTCTATAAATGGACACAGAAACAGCAGGAGTTTTTATAGGAGGTACAGAGTACAGCCCTTTGCAAAGCTAATGTTACACCAACAAACCTAAACACATTTCATTGGTGAAGTCTTTGTTTTCCTGTTGGAAGGTCATCCTCCATCTAGGACAGGGGGGTTCAAATTCATTGAATGTGAGCTTCCGTTTGGAATAGGTAAAGATGACCAACCCCCCCCCACCAAACCCTGATTACTCTGAGGTACACCATCAATTGAATGCAGGGTGCAACGTCAGTGGACTCATCCAGTGGAATGGCTTGGATGGGGCTTTTGCGAACTCTGTTCACCACCTGCTCTTTGACATCATAAGATTTTGGGATATTCATCGCTGGATGGTTTTGTCAGACGTTGGGGTTGTGTCAAGTTTAAGCACATATGTTTAGCTGCCGGGAGCAGATTTTTTTTCTCCATCAGTATGGGGCTTGCCTGCCTTTGCTAAGTGAAGAGCAGCTATATAAAGCCGGGCGTACACTGTGCCATTTTTTTCAATCGTTGCACGCAGCTACAGCTCACACTGTACGACGAAACTCCAGGGTTTCCTACCCTACGACGAAGCCCTCGTCGTACAGATGCAGATGCATGTTCAGTCCATGCAGGATCTACCTTGTATGTCTAAAAACCACGACGGACTCAGCTCCGCAGTGAGATGGAGCTACTCTGACTCGTCTATCCGGAAGCCAAACGAGAAGAAGAGGAATATGAGGCTCACTTAACTCACTTTGATTTTCTCCCAACCTCACGATTCCTGGTCGGCAGGTGGTCGTGGGAGGCTAAACGCCACTCGTTACTCCCTGTACACTACACGATCTACAACGCATGATCAGGCTGAAAGGCGGCCTGATTGGAAAATTCTCGTCCGACTAGAAAATCACCCTGAAAAGGGCAAAAAATCGTACAGTGTAAGCCTGGCTTAACATGCCTCAGTTGCCATGACGTTAGTGTCAAACGAACACATTACTGTGAAAAAAAATCTATTGGCTTGTTGGCTAAATTCATGTGCTCTATTTCCATATGATGGCGCAGTTTGGATGGCCGCATACTGTCATTTGCTAACATCTCTTTGCACATCACACATTGTGGCAGAGCTGTGCTGTCGGAAACGGACCATATAAAACCTCATTTTAAATAATCAGGATCGAATATCCTGTTTTTTAGCAGATGGTTACAATAAAAATTGTATTTCACTTAATCTAGATCTTCAACTCAAATTTGACCAGCTTCACTGTTCCTGCTGAAGGTAAGCCCCCCACAGTATGACACTGCCACCACTGTGTTTCAAGGTAGAGGCGATGTGTTTGGGGTGAATATGTAGAACTGCTTTTTCTTCTTCTAAATCTTTTTTTTATGTTTATTGGTAAAGTTCTTTTATGCTCTTTGAACTTCATAAAATACCATAGTCTACTAATTAATTAAAAATCAATTATCTTAACTGAAGAAATGGTGGTTTTGTTGCCTCTCTATAAAGTTTTCCAGTTATTCTTTTTATGGCTCTTTAATATTGAATAAAAATTGGTTGAATATGTGTTTTATATGCATTTTCCCAAACTTCTATACAACTTTTACACTACTTATGTTTGCTGTGTTGCTTATATGGCTTTAAGGACATCAGACGACAGAAATGTTCTTAAAATACTAAGATACTACATATTCGTCTATCGTATTAAATCTCAAAATACATAAAGGTTTGTAGCTGTAAGGTCAAAAGATGTCCAAATGATCTGGTTTTATAAGGATTTTTGCAAGGCAGTGTATGTGATGTCATGATGGGAGTTAATCTGATCCATAATACATAGGTTCTCTTGTTCAGTTGGGTTGTTTTTGCTCCCTCTCCCTTTCCTTGAATCTCTGGCTTCAAAACATCATGAGGTTCGAGTTTGTCGGACTCAAAAATATTCCCTTATTTTCCAGTTGCGATCCTCCCTTACAGGTTCTCATAAACCCCTTCCACCT